GTAACCACGAATTGATGCTCTTTATAACTTCTTGATAGGCAACTCTTGGGTGGAATCTGACCGCATGCGCCTGAAAGAGGGACCGGATGCGCTGTAGGACTGAATGGACGGACTGTGCCACAGTGTGGGCAGCGTGGTGGTGCGCTGCCGGGCGCGCAGTGCGCACTTCTTGCAGTTCTCGCGGTTGACCGAAGGAGGGCGAGGCACGGTGGAAAGAGGCACCTGTGCATCACTCGGAGCGAAGCCAAGTTCAACAACACGATGGTCAAGTAATGGTACTTCAACTAAGAGAAGCCTGCGAATCAGATCAGCAGACATGACGAGACTCTCTCCTAAGCACTGGCCCGCATCGAAATTTTGACAGCCTTGTGGAGCTGCAAAGCAGCAGTGTAGAGCTGCCAACGCCGACAGCGCTATCAGAATGGCGACAAACTTCCGCCTTCTCCGGCGGAAGCCCTCGGCAGGTGTTTGTGGCCCTGGCTAATTCAGAAAGCTTGAGGGGAGTCCGTCTGCCCAAGCACGAGGCCTTGCACAACCCTTTTGATTATGCTCATCGGTTGGGTTCCTCGTCAGGTCGGAATCTCTCAAAATTATTTCAACACATTCCGGCACCTGACGCGTAAACAGCAATAATTTACAAGCCATTTCTCGTGGCCTCCAAAGCCAGCACCCACACTCAGCGCCTGTAACGCTTCCGCAACTGCAAGCGCCCAGAACCCTCGCTGAGGCCCTGTCGTGCCAACAGACGCTTCCCATTCCAAGGGAAGCTGCTATGTTCTTAATTGGTCTCATGCTGCCAATGCTGCCTCGCTTGCCTCTACTAGGTAGGGTTGCACTTAACGTGCTCAGCGGGTACAGTATCTCAGGGGATTGACAGGTTCTCTCCATTGATCTCCGCTTCCAAAACTTGCCGCAACGTTAACTCCACGACATACCGCAGCCAGTGTAAGTGCAGTGCCCAAACTTATGAAAGCCCTGGCTGGAATCCGAACTTTGCCAATCTCATTTGCTGACTGCTGTGGCCACTAGGGCAACATGCACTGGCGAGGCTCTTTGCTAAGCTTGATACGATCCTGGCAGGCTGGCTGGCATGCATGTCCTACATGCAGTACGTAAAAGCTAAGTCCAGTAGCGGCTAAGCATGATATCCTAAAGACTAGATTGCAATCAGATTGCAGTACTCAACAGCAATCATCAACAATGCCCTCTGACAAGGGCTGAACCGGGTTCGGCTTATGGGTGAGTGTTGGCCGGACAGGCCGAAGACCCGAAGTTCGAAAATGCCCCGGTATGTTCGGTGCTGGTAGGTATAGGAGTTCCCAGACCCCGCAAAAACAGGGAAGTATCCTTCATGCCTGACCTCAACCAGTCAAGCATCGACATGCCCATATGCATATGAATATAATCTTGTTTTCACTTTGTCGTAGACACATCGTCGACCCCCCAGCCCTACCCCCCAGACCCTTTTTATACCATTTGCCAGACCGGCCGGCGGGCAACGTGCACACTTCCTACGCTGAGGGGAGCCACATGGCGGCTCCGAACGCTTTCTGGCGCGAAGTTTGAGTTCGGGGACTCGTTGCGGTTCAGAGTTTAGGGTTTAGGGTGGTTCGTCTTCTGGGTCGCAGAATTTCGGCAGAACAAGCTTCTCTGCAACGAAATATGCTGACAAACTACAAGTTCCTGTCATGTTCGGCTCATGGGCCAGTCGAGTGGAAGAGCGACTTGCAACTGGGCCGACGCTAAACGTGGCGCTCTTCGGAGCGCCAAGCACAGACACCTGCCGGTTGGGCCAGAAAAATTCGAGCAGTGTCCCTATAGCGAGCTTGTAAAGCTGGCAACACGCAACAAAGCAAACTCGCTCGTAACATGTTAGCCCCTCGGGCAGGCCCCCCATCACGCTGTGAGCGCTGCCAGTTGCAGCACCGACTCTCTTAGCAGGACGGCAGGCGGTTTAGAACCGAGCATGAAAGGGTTCACAGTTGGGTCGGCTCCCACAAGCTTGGGACAGAGAATCACAAGCAGGAAGAGTCGGTGCTGTCCCCGGAGCTTTGTGAGCTTAAGAGGTGTCTACAGGGCTTTCATCATCGGGCGCTCTCACGAGCGGCGGCGCCACGGCGCAGCGAGCGTGCTGCGCCTTTCAGAAGCAGGACGCTGAATAACAGAGCCTCGCCGTCTTTGTGGACCTCCTGGTAAACTATGGAAAGCTAGAACAGTGGGGGCTCGCTATGTCCTGCTCCATGGGAGGCAGATTGTCGTGCGAAGACCGAAGGGATGTGTGCGGTTGTATGTGTGGTTGTCTTTATCTGTGTGATTGGTTGATTGATTGGTTGATTGATTGATTGACTGCTTGATTGGCTGATTATGTTTGTGTTTATGAGATTGGGAGAGATTGGGAGGGATTGTGACATGTTGCGAGATTGTGTGAGATTTTGTCAGACTGTGTGAGATTTTGTGAGATTGTGTAAGAGTGCGTGAGATTGCGTGAGATTGTTGCGTGAGATTGTGATATTGTGTGAATTTGTGCTTTATTGTGTGATACTGTGTGATTGCGAGTTTGTGTGCGATTGTGTGTGTAGGTGTGTGTGTGTGTGTGTGTGTGTGTGTGTGTGTGTGTGTGTGTGTGTGTGTGTGTGTGTGTGTTTGTGTGTGTGTGTGTTTGTGTGTGTGTTTTGTGTTTGTGTTTGTGTTTGTGTGTGTGTGTGTGTGTGTGTGTGTGTGTGTGTGTGTGTGTGTGTGTGTGTGTGTGTGTGTGTGTGTGTGTGTGTGTGTGTGTGTGTGTGTGTGTGTGTGTGTGTGTGTGTGTGTGTGTGTGTGTGTGTGTGTGTGTGTGTGTTTGTGTGTGTGTGTCTGTGTGTGTGTGTGTGTTTGTGTGTGATTGTGTGTAATATTTTTTGTTTTTGCCTGTGTGTGTGCGCGTGATTTTGTGTGATTGTGTGTGTGTGTGTGATGTTGCGCGTGATGCTGTGTGTGATGTTCTGTGTGTGTGTGTGACATTGTGTGCGATGTTGCGTGCGTGTGTGTGTGACGTTGTGTGTGATGTTATGTGTCTTTGTGTGTGTGTGTGTGTGTGTGTCTGTGCCTGTGTGTGTGTGATTGTGTGTGTGTGGTGTGTGTGATTACATGTCTGTTTGGTTGTGCGCATGTGGTGTATGCTTGTGCTGCAGAGATCCCTGCACGAACCGTGAAGGCAGGGAAAACCCTGTAGTGCCAACATGTGAAGAAGTCAACGCTTACCTCAACTGACCTTGGATGTCCTGGCACACACACAAGCTGGGCGTACCTCCGTGGCCGTGCCAACCTTTCAAGAGCGCAAGTTGTGAATTTGGGTTCGGGACCCCTAACCTAACCAACCCAACTTCCGGAATCGCTAGGCCGAGAAGGCAGTAAGGTACGTACTTACGTAGTTCAAGAACCACTACGAAGCCCGTTAGCGTTGACTTTACTTGCAGCGCCAAGGAAGCTTTTCAGAATGCTTCTGCCCGTGCTCTCTCAAACGCTCATGAGCTCTCACTGATCCGGGCGTTTTAGAAAGGCACACGTTGAGGCATCCGTGGCATGTCATGCCGACCATTTGCAAGTTCGCCGTCGTGGACCAGTGTTCGATCGCAAATCCCACAATTTGGACTGAAAGCTGTGCTTGCCCGACATTGTCTATACCAACATGGTGCAACATGGTACCAAGGTGCTCCTGCCGCAGATGTCACCTGCATGCGTGACCTTCTCTGAAATGACAGGCTTATTGAACAACTGAACAACTGCGGGCCTGAGAGCTTTCCGACTCCTTGTCTCCAAAAGAAAGGTGACTTCAAACTCATGATAACTCACCTGTTACTGTACCGCTGCATGCCAAAGCTGAGCTGCGTGCATCTGCGTAACGAGAATATGAACAGACACTGTCAAGCCGCATTCTTGCCGTATGGTTCTGAACAAATGCCTTCCGCATCCCTGTAAAGCTAAGATCCGCAAAGAAGCGCCTCCTTACACCGAAACCTCTGCGCTTCCCTGCCGGATACATGCTCGGGCTGCAGCTCGCCACGCTAGAATTCACTGCATCCTGCATGGTCCTCCTACCTGGGTCCACCAAGCTGCACGGATGTACACGTGTCTTGACCAATGCATGGATGCAATGTTGCATGTGAAGCATGGTGAATTTCTGGAAAATGGATTCTGAACCTTATTGATTAAGATCTTGAACAAAGATAGGCGCCCTGGCTTGGACTTTGCAATCGAAGCCTTCACGAGAGATCTTTGCATGGGCCAAGGTGCCTAACAGGCTTCCGCTCTTGTGATTCGATCTAAGATGCGCCCTGGAAACACTCGAGTATTCTCAACTTGAGCTGTTGGTCCAGCACCCCCACAGCGTCCATCTGAACAGAAGCAGGCTGCGGGCTGAGATCCAGCAGCTGAGCACCCTGCTGCTGTTCTGGTTGGTATTTGATGTCCTGCCGTAAATTCTGCCTCAACATTATTTACTCTTGAGGAGCTAGACTAGAAGCAACCAAATTAAGTTGAGCGTCAGGGATTTGGATCCGCAGTGGCTAGAAGACAGCCCTCACAACCCTTGTTTGCAACAGCTGCATCCATGTTCTGTTTGCGTTAACCGTTCACTTAGGGAGGGCATGGGAAGGACAGGAAAGCGGACTGTGGTTCTCGGCGGACAAAAACATGCCCATGGGTGTGCACATGACTGAAGGTTCTCTGACGCTCTCGTCTATTGGGGTAGCAAGGGAATACCAATCGCTGCACTGTTGAAACAAACCCCAAGCCCCGAAATCTAACTAATCCGCATTCCAAGAATTGCCAGGAGGGCGTCTGGCACAAGCAGGCGAGGATCTGGTCTGGTTCCCCCCTCCCAATCGGGATCCGCTCAGACTTTCCCTGACCACCCTGGGAAACCCTGGGACCCCGTCAGATCTTTCTTGACCCTAAAGCTCCTGAAGCCCTCCTACCTCCTGAACTCGTGTGTGCCGTGTGTGGGCCGCACCAAACGACAAATGACTTTGGCTTTCCTTTGCCTGCCGAGGCGATGCGCGCGAGCGTTCACAATTCGAAGCGGGTCCATACATTGTGCCATACTGGGGTATGAAGGGGGTGCCCCTGTTTGAGAAAGCAGCCGTATCTCAACCTGAAACTTTCAATCATCCCAAGGCCCAGGTCCTACAACTAATTGGTCGAGGCATCCAGACCAGCCCGGTGACCAGCCTGGGTGGAACAAATTGGCAACAAAGAGGCTTCGGAACTTCTACGAGTAGTGCTCTCGTCTTAGCTTCCACTGGACTGGAACAACAGGCTTGGGGACAGAGATGTGCTGCCCGAAGTGCATAGTTCGGCACGGTAGGTGTTGAGAACTTGGACACTTGGTTTAGGGGGCGAGGAAGAGGAACTGCGGGTTCGTTGAAAGGTGAGCAAATGTTGCGTCGACTGCGGGGACTCTTGTGACTCACAAGGTGTATCAGGTCTTCCGAAAGACCTTTGCGACTCGGAAGGCCGGTCTGGACAATGACCGCGTGACTGAAGCGCAGGGCATAGGCCGTGTGGACACGTACTATAGAAAAGTGATCAGAAAGCATATGGTGCACAAATGTGCACCATACAGAACGCGTTCTACCAATGACCATAAACAGGCACACACTCGTAAGACTCGCAACCGCATCGCCACATGTTGGTTCCCAGTGCAAGTGCAGAATTGCTGCTAGCCCATGCATACGCAGATACATAGATGGACGAATGAAACTGATTCCATTAGACCTGGAAGACCTAAACTCAAAACCCACCCTAAACTGAAGCCACTTGGACATTGTACGCACAACACTGTCCGCCTGAAGAGCTCGGAATACAGCGTACTGTATCATCATGTCGTATCAGCACGACCATCAAGCCTTCACTAGATCCTTTCGCATCGCCTTCGACATATCTCATATTACTGAATTATGCTGATCATCTGAACGTATCCCGTTGATGGCAGCAGCGGACCCTCTAAAAACGCTCTCTTGGCAGCTCGGTGGCTGAGGGCGTCGAGCTCTGCAAGTCCCTGGATGATGGCGCTGATCTCCTGGAAAGAGACTCTTGTACCACGAAGAATGCAAAGAACACATACACAAGCCTGGACTAAGCGAGTTCCGGGAACTCGGATTGCTGCCATGTCTGCCACGTTGTTTGCGTAGCAAGAATGGCTCTGACGGGTTCGGAAGCCACTCAACTTGAGGGCAAAGCCGCCTACTTGTCGTCCCAAATGCTTCTCTCTTGTGCAACAACCTAGAAGAATCTCAAGGTCTGAAAACGACCTCAGCAGCAGCGGCATCGTCGCAGTTCCCTGCCGATGCCTGGCCCACGCCGGTCAGAGATGCGAAGCACGAGAGCCGCTGGAACAGAATGCATGACATGGCATGAACTCATGAACCAGCACTCATCATGCGATTGCCGACTGGCGACGATCGCACACCATGCTCAATCTGTGGCTGTTTTCCAGCGGAGCGGAAACGCCCAATGCAACAAAAGAACATCCTGCCCCCCCTTCCCCCCCCCCCGCCCCCCCCAACGTAATCGGGAAGTTGCGGCGTGACCGAGATTGACTGGTGCTTTCGCTCCCATTGCTGGATCCCTGCCTGGTTCAGGCCCCAGTATGACCTCGGCACTGAAGGTTTGCGAATTGTGCCAGCTGCATCTTGCTTGCCCATGTGCGAAGAGCAGGAATTTTGTCTCACGCAACCTAGTCATATGGTCTTGTGGGTATCCAATGGTCTTGTGGGTATCCAGTATCCAGCCGTTGTACGTGAATACCCTGAAGGAGACCACCAAGGATGCATGTCGTGCCCACCTACTGTAGCAGTAGCACAGCTGCAATGCACACGGTGTCGGAACCGGAGATGCTTACAAAGCCGATGTCACGGGTCAAGGGTCCTGTTTGGGATGGCCTTGTGAACAGTCCCTGCAACTCCATCACCTCCGTGTTACATTCGTTATTAACAAAATCCGCTCTGTGGTCCCCGGCGCAGACAGCCGCTGCTCAGGCCAGCCACTCTGTGGCCTGGACAGCAAAAAGCCCCATCAAGCTGATCATAGCTTGGTCTAAGGTGCCGAAGCCGAAGAGGGAAGCCGAAGCCCGAACCCCGCATCTCCCTCCTGCAACCGACTGCTCTGCTACAAGGCAAAAAAGCCCGACATCTCCCTCCTTTGCCCCGGTCAGCCTCAACTCGGCCGCCACGCGCAGCAGCGGCGAGGAGGCAACTCCCCGGTGCAGCTGAACTTAGATGGGCGAATACACTCTAAAGCACACTTAAGGGCCCGAGGTTCGGCAGAAGCTTTGAGGGCTCTAGAGACTCTAACACAGTCACAGTGTTTCGGAAGCTGAGGGGGGCCGGGGAGGGGGGGGGAATAGAGGAATTATTCAAGAAGCCCCTAGCAATGAGCAACCCAAAAAACGACTGGCGTGAAACATCCTGCAGATCTGGTAGACATTCTTGCAAGTGAATCCATGCAATGGCTGCACTGCATGCAATCATGGCAGCGAAGGTGCAGTTCAGATTGCGGGACCAAGCAGATAGGTGGCTGTTGCGACACCTGAAAGACAACAAGGCAAGCGATGTGTCAAGCAGCTTTAGCTGTCGCGTAAACCAGACAGTCACATTTCGCGTTGTTCCACCCTCTCCTTTGTCCCATGCATCATGTTCCTGGAGGGTCATCTTGGAGTGCTTTGCGGGGTCATCTTGGAGTGGTCTTGAAGTGCTCTTGGGCAGTGCTTGCGCATGTTTCAGATGCTGGCCAGGGTTGCATTGGAAGGAGACCTGAAGCTTCAGTGCTATATCGCTGTTTCCTTGAGGCACGTTGTAAGGACTCAACGGGAATGGCTACGTAAGACTTCCAGGACGGACGTGGAAAAAGTTGGGTCGGCAATCCATCGCAACATAATTGCAATGGACAGTTTGGGAAAGCTTTCCTCGGAAACGCCATGCAGTGCATCGTAGTGGCCTGCACTTGAAAGAAGTCCTGGCATCTGCTGTAATAATGACAACCTTCCAAGAGTACTTAGTACTTACGCCTCGTGTCCGTGGAACTTCTGATGGCTTTGGGTCCCGCCTCGCAAAGCGAGCGCAATTGGCAAAGCGCATGGCAGCCTGCCTGCAAAGTGGCTGATTGACTGTGGCAACTGTGGCGGCCACAGCTTTCTACCGAACAGTAGCGGCACGCACGAAATGGAGGTTCAGCAGGTGTGCCGTCTTCAACAAGAAAAGACTAAACGCGTTAAGCACACTTCTACTCCCACTTCCTCAAGTCAACCCATCAAAGATATATGATTTCAGCATTTCGGGCGCCCAAATTTTCAGGGGCCATAAGAGATCGGAGAAGCATCTCCCGACCTCCCCACAGCTCCAGAGGGAAGGGGCTCGAGCCGGCGTGATAGCGGTTGGGATGACGGAACTGGGGCCGGGGGTTAGGGTTTTGCGTTGAGGCTGCCAGGGTAGTAGAACTTTATCACGGTCACAAGCTTTTGAAAAGCAAGAGATTCTCAGGACACAAATACTGATAAGTTGTACTCTTGGGTAGCCTAGATCCCCGAACACTGGTACCCCCGCACCCGCAGTTGTGACCCATCAGAGTCCGTCAGTCCACTGTTTGTTGAAGCATGTACTGCTGCATGGCACGCTTCTGCTTCGCAGAGGATGGAACCAATCAACCACGACCTCGCTGCACTAAATGCCGCGACACGCCGGAATCCATTGAGAGCTTTATCGTCGCGGCCAGAATTTTGAGGACGAACCACGAAGCAGCGCCGCGTCACGCCGGATCCGTCGAGAAGATCGTCGTTCGCGGCCAGCATTTCGAAGATGCTCCACGCGACGCGACACGGCGGATCCGTCAAGAAAGTTATGTCGTTGGCCCTGCGACATGCTGCGTCCACCGAGAGGGTTCTGCTGGCGCGAACGAGGCGCCGCGGACATCGAGAGGGTCGTCGATCGTAACCAGGTCCACGCGCCAGCGCATTTTTGAGGAGGTGCGGAGGACCTCGCAGACCCCACCCCACGAGTGAAGGCTTCGACGATAACGCATGGTGAGAGCAACATTGTCGCAACCCCCCCCCCCCCGCCCCCTCCCCCACCACCCCCTGAAGCCAAACAAATCCATCGTGGAATGGACGAGGAAAGAGTGAAAGCTAATCAAACACCATGGGGCTATGCAGCTTTCTTGCCGGAAGCTCGCAGAGGGCTCCACAGGGTTTTGCCCCTGGAAAACGTCTGCTTCTCGGCCCTCATCTCTGCACCTCAGGTACGACTGAAGCCACACACACACACACACACACACACACACACACACACACACACACACACACACACACACACACACGCTGCTCCACCGACCTTCTCTTGAGGTCACTTCGTGAGAATAGAATCTTCAGCAAGCTGCAGCCAAGTTCTGAACCCTGTGTGGCTCTGCTAGGACCCGCGCAAAGGAGTATGACGAGTCGAGACCCTCCTTGCTTGGCACCAGAATGCTGCCTTTGCAACTTAGCGCTCTGGCTCTGGTGATGGAACTTTGATGCCCATCAGATCCTAGAAATTTCGTGGACCCAGTTGATTCAAGAGATTTGATGGCAGAAATGGCAGGCTTCAGCCTTAGCGACTGCAAGAAAATTATACTCTCGCCATGTCAGGAAGGGTGTTCAAAAACCACTTCAAGCCAATTACCGAGTCTCTCTGGCCATCCCATGTACCAAATCCCTGGCAGCCCTTTGCCATAATCACTTCCAAAGCAACACTGACGGAGCTCTGCTACTCCTGCCTTTTGCGACATCCAGGCCGAATGCTTCGAGAAACGCCTTCTCGACACTGACAACGCCACAGGGCGCTAGACTCTCAGCGCCTGACCAACAGAAGTTCACAACTCACGCGGCAAATGATATCAGCGGCTTTGAGAAATGCGAGAGAACCCGTGGCAGAACTCAATACACAGCGCTTTCTGTGTTTTCCCCACCAAAGTAAAAAAATGCTGTGCTCACATTCTCGGACGAGAAGATGCAGGGAGCCAGGGATTTCAATTCACTGCTCTCCTAGTACAGCAGGCGCACATAAACCGTAAAGCATCGTAACACACCCACACACACACACAAGTGCACACAACGGTGTGGTAGCCGCAGTCCCCGACATGCTGCAAGGCCTGCCTAACCACAGTACAGTGATCAATGATGGAACCTGATGGCAACCATTCAAACGTACTCAAACCCTAAACCCTGGCCATCCCCAGGCACCCTTCGGCAGAACCAGCAGGGCGGCGCCGGCAACTCGCTGGGACTTGGTGGGGTCGTTCCTCCAGGTAAAGTCGAGTCCCCGTCCCCCCCAGCATGCTGGACAATGATTCGAAGGTGAAGCTAGAGAGCCGATATTGTCAGCCAGATCTACGATGGCCACGAGCTCAATACCGACTTCGAAGTTGAAAGTTATGCTCTCGCGTGCGAAAAGGCACACCCCGAGGGCTTGAGACTGCAGTTCGGGGCCTTATGAACTTACATTGCCTTAATGGGTTTATAGCTTCCGGTACTGCTTCATGAAGGGCCCTCTGATGGAACAAGGGCAGAGAACTTTTCAGAGGTATGAAACTTTGCGGTAGGTTACTGCCTCAGCGCAGAAACAACCCTGCCGTCAAAGTGCAAGCAGATGTCCCGCTCACCAGGAAGTCTGCTGGGACGTTTCGCAAATATTTCTGAAACCTTGCACGCAATGGCCCAGCACTGAGTCTAAGGAACTACACACGGAAACCAGAGATGATGGGAGTTCGGGCCGTGTCACATGCCAAGATGTTGCTCTACGGGAAAGGCCAATACTGAGACACGTGCTAGGGACATGTGCGGCAAAGCTACTGACAGCATCGTGCATTCTTGCAATCTCGCGCCCTCACAGTTTCAACGGAAGTGGTGCCCAGCAACACCACCAGTCAGTATTGGGGAGGTTTTCATGTACTTCTGATGTTCTATAACTCCACGAAATACCGGTCGGGGAAGGGAGAGCCGATGTTGGCAAACGGCACCTGCTACCGGCTACAGATCCGGGAAAGCTGCATCTCAAACAACAAGCAACAATGACAAAACGGCTCTGCTTGCCGCTGTCAGATTCTATGAATCCGCCAACTACCGCCAGAGCCAGCGAAGTTGCTTTGAACATGGTTTAGGGTTTAGGGTTTAGGGCCCCAAAACCCAGAACCCTAAACCCAGCATGCCGGGGGTCTCCGACAAAGACAATGGGATCTTCACAAGAAATCAAACTCCAGCTTAGCAAGCCCTGCCAGAGGCAAAAACCGTGAAGGGCCCGGACAAGTCTTCGACCAGCAGCTGCAGTGACAGGTCCTGCTGAGCGCAGCAGTCTCTAAAGTGCTTGGGTCGGAAACTCCTGTTTGCCATGCTCACCGGAGTCTGCCAAACCCCAACCCTACCTAATAGTTGAGCCGAATCTCGAACAACCCTGTGCAGCTTCAAAGCATGCTGTCCAATGCGCACTCCAGGGCCTTGGAATCCCAGAAAGCTGGTTCTACAATGAGTGGCTTGCGAGGGCTTTGAGACCCACGCGCAGCACATTTCCGCATCTCAAGAGCCTGCAAAGGGAAGGACCATGCCTCAAGGAGAGGGACTGAATCCTACTGGATGCCCTGAACAGGACAGCAACACAACAGCCTCAACAACCCGCTTCTCCCGAAGTCACAAGAAAATCCGAACATGACCCAAGTGCTCCACGCTCCAAACACACATGCCAGGGGCCTTCTCGCCCGACAGGCTGCGAAGAAGCGCCTCTGAGCCCTGCCCGTGAGGTTCGGATTCTACGAATCACTTCTGCAGACTCTGCCCAGTGCCCTTCTTTTCAGGCTGGTTCTGAACCTTTCGCTGTTCTAACGTCCAACGTGGTTCGTCAAGCGTCGAAGCAGGCTAAGCATGGGATGTCCTGAGGCTGGCCTAGTGGATTGACATGCACGGCCTGCTCTGCCTAGCTTCTAATATTACTATTCATGTTATGATTATTCTTACTCATATTAGTCTTATTCTTATTCTTATTCTTATTCTTCTTCTCAATCTGCTCAATCCGGACGAGGTGAGGCAACTACCTACAGTACAGCCGATGTTCGGTCTGCCTTTCTCATTTGGTACGCAACAGTAGTCTACGGCACGGCAGTTTGTGAGCCACACCTAAACCCAATCGTATAGCTTCCAGTAAATGGATTCCGGTACAACGTGTCGGTCCTCTTTGGCGAAGGCGTTTGAGTCAAAGCTGCGGTAGTAGATGCGACACCTTGGTGACATGAGTACCAGTGCCGTCCAAGCTTCAGTTTAAACTTTGAACCTCACAAAGCCTTCTGAAAGCACTCGACTGAGTCGAACAAACAGCCAGGAGCGTGAAATGTTTAACTGGGAAAATTGCCCGAAGAATGTAGCCCCAATCTTGCCAAGGGTCCGCAGTCTCGGCACCACTGCCTACCACGAGAGGCACAAGGTGTAGATTGCGGCTGATTGCCGCGGAGAGAAGCGATCACGGCGATCCCTTCAAGCCTCCACGCAACCCGAAAAGCCTTCGGTCCCTTGGTAAGCCCCACGCCTTAAAGCCTAAATCCACAACCATACCTTGCAAAACCCCCCTAAACCTAAACCCTAAACCCTAAACCCTAAACCCTAAACCCTAAACCCTAAACCCTAAACCCTAAACCCTCAACGGGTTTCCCTTTTGGGATCTCGTTGGTCCCATGGTATCCCAGCATCCGACAGCCTCCTCGAGTCGGCAGGAACCCACCAGGTCCTCTGAACTTTGAGGGTTTAGTTAGTTAGGGTTTAGGGTTTAGGGTTTAGGGTTTAGGGGTTTGGGGTTTAGGGGTTTAGGGGTTTGGGGCTTGGGGCTTGGGGTTTGGGGTTTGGGGTTTGGGGTTTGGGGTTTAGGTTTAGGGTTTTGGGGTTTTGGGGTTTCGGGGTTTCGGGGTTTTGGGGTTTTGGGGTTTTGGGGTTTTGGGGTTTGGGGGTTTTGGGGTTTTAGGGTGTTAAGGTTTTGTTTCCGTTGTTGGCTTTAGGGCGGGTGTGGTGAGCTCTGGGCCGACTGTGAGGTTTTGTAAGGCGGCCTGTTTAGGCTTTGAGAATTTAAAACATGCTTCGAGGAACCCAGGGCTGCAGAAACTGCTCTATGCGCCACTTCAGGTTCGCTGCCTTCAGGGATTTCTGCTTTCCATAGCACCAGTGAAACCGGTCTCCCAAGACAAACTAGTAACTAAGCCGGACTCACCAACTTCTGGCGCAGCTGTTGAGCCTAAATATGCTCTGCTCAGAAACAAGCCTCAACCACCCACTCCTAGGACTTTGATACCCGACAACAAGAAAAAGAACAGCAACAACACCAACAGCCGATATATGGTGTGTATACAGAAATGAACGAGCAAACAAACAAACAAACAAACAAACAAGTAAACAAGTAAACACAACAAACAAGCAAGCAACCAGACAATGCGCTCTACACGCTTCGGGGCACCCAGTGCGAACAGAAAGCGACCGTAGCAACGGACATGTTTTCCTCTACCTGCTCGTCTCAGGTGGCGTCAGATGCGTAGACGTGAACAGGAGCTTCAACCTCCTCTGGAGGCGCGCTCCACTGACCCGTCCACACAACTTCGACAGGGCGGGTGAGGAGGGTAAGTGAATTTTCAGCTGCACAAAACTCGGGCCTCGTTGCTTCAGCAGCGGCGGGCTTACGCGAGCAAACGGAATCGAAATCAAAGAGAAGCTCCTAGTGCTATTGTCACTACGTGCACAAGTGCACTACCCGACAATGCGCTCTACACGCTTCGGGGCACCCAGTGCGAACAGAAAGCGACCGTAGCAACGGACATGTTTTCCTCTACCTGCTCGTCTCAGGTGGCGTCAGATGCGTAGACGTGAACAGGAGCTTCAACCTCCTCTGGAGGCGCGCTCCACTGACCCACTCTCCGCGCGCCTCCTCCCCACTTGTGGTGCGTGGAGTCACTGAGACGTTGGGGTAAGCAGGCCCCGGCTGAGGGAGCGAACCACTTCCGCGAACTGCCACTGCTCGAGGTTCTCTGGCTGGCTCTGCAACCGGAGCAGGATTTGCCAAACATCGTCGAGCTTGTACTCATACAGAGCGAACTGGCAGGATTCCATGAGCGACAAGTCGCCACGTGATATGCCGTCTGCCAGATTAGCTGCGGATGTTACTCGATGGAACATCGGCAGGCATCCTGCCTCAGCGGCCCAGACCCAAAAGGCTCCTATCAACCATGCGAACGCGGGGTCTTTGGTGTGGCCTTTATTGAGCGCGTGCTCCGCGGCCGTGTTGTCTACAAAGCAAACCACAAAGTCAGGGTTATCCTCGTACAGGGCCGCAAGCGCCAGCAATTGTGCAACTGCCTCCAGCCAAAAGATGAAAGCCTTAGTGGATGCTGCCTTAGCCAACACGTGGGTCGGTACCTCAGTGCGAAAAGCGAACCGACGTCTCTGCGTGATCACGCACACTCCTATGCCGTTGGAAGAGTCTCTTAGGACCTCTAGCGGCGGGGAGTCTGCCAGCCATCTATTTGCGCACCTCGAAATGCCACCTAGGTTGATGAATGCATCAGCATACACAATGGCGAACTTGAGCCCCTGGGCTGAAAGCTGGCAGGGGATGCGGACTGGTCGAAGCTGGGGTAGAAGCTGTAACAAAAGCTCAAGTGACCTGCGAAGCGGCGCAGACAACTTATTGTGATTCGCACTGTGAGCGTGCTGAAGCCGATGCAGTGGCTTGAGGAGGACCTTGCCAACTGAACCGAAAACCCAAGAAGTCACGAACCCCAACTTACCAGCAAGTTTAGACGCCTCGGCAACCGAACATGTGTCTGCCTGCAAGATGGCTGCAATGCACGAACACAACTTTGCAATGCGTTGTGCTCCCGGGCTAGCCAAGAGAAAAGGCGGGCAAACCTGCCACCTAACTCCCAGAAGTGTCTGGTCTTGCGAAGGCGGCTTAGCTTTCGATTCTTTCATTCGCAGACCTAACAGCCTGCTGAGCTGTTGGAACGCTTGAAAGCCTGACTCGGCTACTGAGGTTGGCTCGACCTGAAAGAAGTCGTCCACGTAATGGGCAGTAGGGAGCATCAGTAGTGTGAGTGCCACAAAAGTCAAGGCATCTGCGATTCTAACGTAACTCCACACCGAGCCAGTAGACCCGAATGGAAGTGCAAGGTGCAGCCACAGGGCCTGCTGGTCCGTTGCGGACGTTGCTGGCACCTCCTTGCGCGAAGCCCTCCTGACCAAAGATGCGACGGTAGGGGCACCAGCATATGGCGGCGTGTCTTGCACCCACACGCACTCATTGTGTGAACTGCGGAGCCAGTCGTCTCCTCTGCGGACCTTGGTAGTCCCTTCCGATTCTTGGACGATCGGGGGCCTAATGTCTTGCGGCAACTTCCCTACCAGAAGGTCGTTGACGTCGAACGGGCCCTCAACCCTGCCTAAGTCCCTCTCTTTTTGCAACTCGGCGAGCATGGTTTCGGTGTGCTCCACGGGCCTCAGAGCGGGCGCACTCTCGCACAAGTGAGCCCTATTTTTGTAAGCGAACTCTGCTTTTGAGAGGGGGCGAGAATACTTCGAGTCTGACCTTGTGTCCCACTGCGCACCTTGAGGAAGCGGGCCCAGCAATGGGAAACCCCAGTACAAGTCGGAGACAAGGGCTTCCCAGGCCGGGAAGCCGCCTTGCGAAAGCAACCAAGCAAACGCCAGCAACTGGAATTTGACCTTACCTGTGCCTTGCATATACACCTTCCGAACATGCTCGGGCGAGCTCTGAAGCCAAGTGTCCTGTTGCTCCTCCAGCTCTGCGACCAAGGACTTCAGGTCGTCGCACACGGTCTGCCTCCAGAGAGGGAGTTTCGCAGCCATTGTTTCCTGAGCCTGAAATGCCCATTCGAGACACGAGTTGAGGCGAAGCGGAAACAGGTCTGAACACTGCAACTTTAAGGCCCACGCCAGGTGTTCTTGCACGCTGTCGGGCGGGCCCTGCAAAGTGTGTGATGGAGGTTCCCGCGGGTCCCATTGCAGGGAGGCACGTGTCCAGAACGAAAAAGCACGGAGCAACGGGCGCGACCCGTCCGGGTGCCATCGAAGCTGTGATGTGGGGTCCGGTAGGCGACAGTACCACTGTTCGGTCGGGGACGAGGCTGCTCGGGCTACCTGGGACTGCAACAGCAGCAGGTACAACAGGAACCTGGACACTGGGAGGTGCCAAGAGTTACCTAGCTGTTTGCACCTAGTCTTGGCGTCAACGCTGGCAGTGTATCCCGGAGGGAAGCCGTGCAACCACTCACGCGTGGCTGCGTCCGGAGGGGCATCCACCCCTGCGACTCTGACTAGAGCTGTGCGGCGGTACTGCCAAGGCGGGTACTGCTGTGCGTCTTGCCGCCATCTGGCCTCGGTGCCCGGGCTCTCGGCTCGTCTCTTCTTCTTTGGTGGAAGGCGACCTTGCGGGCCCGGAGCTGGTGTAGTGAGGCAAGGAAAGAGAGCGCGGCCTGCAACTATCTCGGGGTGAAGTGTACCTGTGGGACACGAAGCTGCAGACTGTTTAGGAAACAGTGGGCTCGAAGGGAGGAGCTGCCAATTCCTGTTAAACCGCTTCCAACGAGCAATGCCTGCGAACAGTGGCAGTGGCCTATCTTGGCTAGGCTCTGGCGGCTGAAAGGCGTCCGTCCACCACAAACGTGGCCTAGACACCACACCCCACGAGGCCGCGTCGCACACGAAGCCTCTCATGCCAAGATCTGCTCCACCTGTGTCTGCGACTCGTGCTGCATTACTACGTTCTCAACCAAGGAAACAACCTGAAAAGGAGCAACCTGTTTGAACTCTTGAAGCCACTTCGCCCACTTAACAAATTTTTGTCCTTCGGGCCCTGCTGGTCCCAGGGCATTGTCTCCCTTGATGCTACTGAAGTCCGGACACGGTGGGGCTGCGGTCACCAACACAACGGAGGATTCTGGGGCGAGCGCTGCCAATCGGGAGGCCGCTGCGTGCGGGCTGATGCACAGTGCATCGCCCATGTGCTGCACGGTTGGGTGTCTTTCTCCACAGACCTTGGTGCAGTCAGGGTCTGTTTCGAACGACCACGAGATGAGCGGCTCCATACCTAGCTGGCGCAGAGCCTCGAACGCTGTGCCAATACCATCGAAAAAGCTGAGCACTAGAAGTGGGCGGACTTGTGGCCCTTACACATTTCCTGTGGGAACGTCTGGGGTTCAACCCTACCAAGCCCAACGACCGGACTAGGGGTCTGGGTAAAACCGCAACCGGGCGGGTTGGGGACTAGGGTTGAGGCGGCTGCTGCGCGCTGTTGCTGGGTCTTTAAACCGGGACTAGGCGCTCCGTCCGAACTAAGGGTTGGGGCGCCGGCTGGCGGAGGGGGAACCGGGACTACGGACGGGCGCTTAGGGGTGGGGGGGCCGGGACTCGCGACTGGTTTCTGCAAGGTCGGTGGCTCAGGCGGAAACGGGAACTCAACTTGAGTGGATTTCGTAGGTTGTGCAAAGTGGCCGCCAATGTGGCCGGGTAACGCCTGCTGCGGCGATGTAGGCGCCCCGTGCTGTTCCTAGCCCCTCTGCGGGGGGTTGGGAGGCACCGGCACAGCGGGTGTGTGTGGCCCCAAGGCTGGCGGGCTCTGCTGTCCGTGCGCGAACTTGCACTGCGCGCCGAACTTGCAATATCCTTGGGCGAACAACCTGCACTGGACATTGGGAAACGACTGAGCCTGTGTTTGCTGCGGTTGCCCCGCGGCGGCGCTCCACTGGTTTGCAAACTTTCCTTTGCCTTTGGACTGAGGCGGGTACGGCGACCACAGGCGATGCGCGACTTCTTTGCCCTTCTCTTTCCCCTTGCCTTTAGGGTTGTCCGGGGGAAGAAATCGTGACAATGCCTCTTGGACGTTGGTTTCGGCACGAACCTGTTTTGCAGCAACCCCGAAAGCGAGACCCTCACGGAGTTTCATGCACAACTCCCAGTGGCATTTAACCCACAACTGGCGAAGGTGCGGAAACTTGCCTGGGTGGTCGCGAACAAGGTTGCTCCACCATGTGAACCACTCTTCCAGCGCCAGCTCCGGGCCCCACCTTGCGAACAACAACGCGTACTTGGCCGCCTCGATCGCGTCCAGGAATGTAGTCATTCTTTGCGGCTCTGGAAACTTGGTCGTGATCTTCTCCCACTGCCCGTCCTCGCGAACGACCATCTTTGCAGATGGGTCGTCCTTCATGCGGTAGGGGTTCACTGCGCCACTCGCCGTGAACTGGCGTTGGCTAGGGATCTCCCCCAGTTTCAAGGGCTTGTGGGTAGAGGTGTTTTTTTCGTGAACGAGCCTAGCTAGCGTTTCCTCGGCTCCTACCAAGAGGTGTTTTGGAAATTGGCGAACTTGGCCCCCAATCATGTCCTTCTGGTAGTCCTTGATGAACTGCGACCAGTAGTCAGCTGGCAAGTGCTTCGGAACCTTCGACGTGTCGGACGCTGAGGAGGCAGCGGGGGCTGCAAGGCCTGTATTCGCGCGCCAAAAGCGCTTGCCGTGCCACCGTGAACTCGTCGATAGGGTGGTTCATGACCGACTCTGCGACCATGAGCCCAGTATCGTCCAGCTTGGCTGTAGCCCCATTGATCTCGACCCCGGCGGCGAAGACCTCCAAAAACTTGGGAATGCGCGACCTTTCTGAGAAGGCATGAAAGAAGGCGCCCGACGTCACTATGCCCGAAGCGACCAGGTGAGCCAGCACATTCTTGTCAAGGCCCGCCGCCAGCGCCTGCGCCTGAAGGTCGGGCATCGCGGTCGCCATGAGGCTTTCAAGAAGAGCTGCTGTCCGTGCCTGACTCTCCTTCTTCTCGAGCTGCAGATGCTGCTGATGCCAATGTGGCTGACTCGGGGAAACAAACAGTGCACTGCGAAAATCCTGGCAACAGAGTGGCATTACGAAAGGAGGAAGACATGCCATATTTCCACTTGCCGCACTGCGAAACCCACAACTCAGACGGCACGCTGGATTCTGCCAGCGCAGGCTTATGAGCCAACTTCGACCTAATGTTATGCACCAAGGCGCCTTGGCCCTGAACACACTGCGCAACCATGTCGCGGACCAAATTCTGCAACTGCGAACTAGCAAAGGATCCAGGCAAACCACCGGACAAGTACTGCTCGATACGATCAGAGCTAGCACTCGGGATCTGGACCATGGCGTCCTGGACATAGCGAAGGATAGACATGGATCCCCAGCGACCCACGAGCTGGATCTGCCCCAACTGGACGCCTCCACGTGCGAAGAACTGGGCGCCTGCGACCCTAAAAGAATGCTGAGCCCAATCAACAACCGACTCCAATGGCCAGTCAGTGAACTGTGCACGCATGAGCACGAGTGCTGCTGCCTGGGCGAGCCGTGCGACCATTCGCTTGCTCGGCACCGAAGCATCGGGGCTTGGGAAGAAAGGGGACTCGGGCTGCCACGAACCTTGTCTCCGCAACGAAATCGACTGAGACAGCATCGCATGGAAGACGCACAAAGGTTGGCGGCCTGCTTGGCACTGACACTTCTGGAGCGGTGTGAACATTGTAGCTGCATCCTGCGAACTAGCACAACCTGGGGCATGCCTCGGGCGACAGAAGCACGAGTGCGACCTTTCGCAGCCTTTGGCCTCTGTGTCGGTTTTGGAGACCGGAAGGCGGATGCGAACAGAGCGTTCGTCCCTGCGAAAAGTAACATCTGCGCAGCGAACGTTGGCCAGCTCTATTCCACGGAGCATAAACCAGCACGCTGACACGACCACGCCCTCGGGGCTGGCGAACCTTTGTTCGGGCGGAACCTTAAGGATGTCGTAAGCCAAGTGAAGCTGAGCGCCAAAGTCCGCCGGGGCGTTCTCCAAGACGAAGTCATGCTTGAGGCGTGCCGGCCCCATGCCCCTGGTGACGCTGCGAACGGCTTGCGACACAGCAAGGTCGAGGTCTGCTGACCAAGGAAAGCCAAGCTCACGGTGCTGCGACTTGGCGATGCTGAAGTACTGCGCTGCGGACCGATAACGGCCTTCTTTGAGGGCGGCACCAATCTTGAAAATCGTTTCCTCAGTGACCGGCACGGGGTCAATCCCCCGGACTCTGCATAACTTGGTCCAGGTGGACCAGCGCGACTCTCGGGGCTTGTGTGACGTGGATGCGAACCTATCGCGCATAAACCTCTCGTCCGCCTGTGCCCAATTGACTGCTGCGACCTGCCCTGGGCCATGCTGCACAACCCCCAGGCGCTGCAGTGAACCTCTGGCATAGGGGTGCACCTCGGGAAGATCAGCCCTGTTTTTGCTTCGGGCTACTTTTGGCGGAGCGAAAAACCTATCAGAGGCCTCATGCCCCAGCAAGCGCCGAAGCTCCGGCCTGGACAAGTGTTCCAGGTGCCTAGCAGACTTGACACCTTCCTTACGCAGCGGCTCAAGTGCCCAAATGGCATCAATGCGTCGTAACGCCTCCACCAAGCTAGCGAAAGTGTCAACATCTCCATCGCCCACAAGGTGCGACATGCCCAAACCCTTGCAAAGAAGGCCCGTAGGCAAGCAAACTAAGCCCAAAGGCTCAAAGCGCCCGGAGGCAAAAGCCACGGTAGAAATTGAAGGTTAAGCAAAGCAAAAGCTGAAATCACTGCAGGAGCGGGAATTACAGAACGTCCTGCGCCCAAAAGTCAACGAACCCAGCAAAACAAATAAACCCAGACAACGACGTGAAGTGCGAACGTGCGACAAAGTGACCCTACTCTAAAGAACACGAGACATGTCATGCGACCATGCAAGCACGCGTCCGCGAGGGGGGGCAGCGACGAAGGTGCAACCCAAGGACTCAAGGCTCGGCCGGGTAGGCAGGGCAGGACGAGGGAGGGTGGGAGAGGGGGGGGGGCCCACCCGTTTCAAGAGGCTAGAGCCCAAAACGACCCCCTGAAGGCGAGCACGCGAACGCGCACATCCGACTTAGCACGCAGTGTCTTGTGCTGTTTCAACGCTCATAGGCGCCGGCTGTTCAGCGACGGGATGCGGCCCTTGTGGCACACAGCATCGATGGCAAGGTCCTGGTGCTGCAGAGGATTTGCCCTCCCCATCGGAGGTCTTCTACCAGGCACCCTTCCGGCAGCGGTGCTCGTCTGAAAGCAGTGGAGATTGAGTCGTGGGTGAAGCCTACCTTCTCTACTGGCAGCACCAGCTCCTGAACGCCGCAATGGGTGCGAAGTGACGCACAAGCCTGTTTGGCCCAGGACCCCAGCTTTCGGAGGAGTCCCACTCCAGGTCTCTGTTCAAATCTGGAAGGTCCTCCCAACAAAGCGCGTCTCCGAGACTTTCCGGGACGGGCACCCTGAAGCCAGGAATGCCACCACATGAACGGCAGCATCCTGCATGGCACGGACCAGTTTCCTGAAGCCTTGTCTGTCCTCTCTACGTTGCGAGCAGCCTTGGCAGGCTGGTCGCGTGGGCAGCCGAGCCATCCTCTCGGCGAGACTTTCCATGCGCCGCACCTGCTGCACTATCTGGATCCACAACAGGAAAGACACCGCTGATTTTGCCCTTCTTCGTCACGATGACCCGCCAGGGCCTGGATGAGGTCTGTTCGGCCCCCAATCGATCCAGGACAAAGCCCATGAGCTGAGCTCCACATGAGTCAGCTCGGCCTCTTCACAGCCCCGGAAGCCTCGAAGACGGTAGATTTCCGCGACATGCTCAAAGTTGTCGCGCACGGGCGTCGCGCACCAACTGCAAGGGGCTCATGGAATAGACCTCCTGGATAATGGCCTCTCGCATGCGCGCATCCAAGTCTTCAGCAAGGGTCCTATGAAGGCCCCGGTCAACGAAGTGAGCGAGGCCCTTCTTTCCCATGGCTGCTTGCTACTCCTAAGTGAATTTTCAGCTGCCGCACAAAACTCGGGCCTCGTTGCTTCAGCAGCGGCGGGCTTACGCGAGCAAACGGAATCGAAATCAAAGAGAAGCTCCTAGTGCTATTGTCACTACGTGCACAAGTGCACTACCCAACAAACAAACAAATAAATAATATGTATGCATTGTAGTCTATTCTGTTCTGTTGCACTTCTATCCAATTTTATTCCCGCAAGAGCAACCCGAGGAGGTCCAGAAGCGCCGTGGCCTCGCCGGCACCCAGCCTGTGAAGAAGACTTCTGGGACGTTTTGAGAGGCTGATTCTTATGGACGACTTGCGAAAGGCGCGGGTTGGCCAGGGCCTTCTTGAGTTGCGGGAACGGTTTGAGCCGCTACCGGGTGGTGCAGCGTCCCACCACAGCAACAGGAAAGTTACAATTTACTAGAAGCCCTGAGATTGGCCTCTGCAGCAGCTCAGCTTTGTCTGCCTCTTGCAAGACCTAGGTTGGCCAGGACTTCAAAACTTTAAGGGCTCTCGTGTTCATTGTATGCTCCTTAGCAGGGCGGCAGGATTGGAACTGGTCACCCGGCAAGGAAGCCGGGCGTTGTACATAACAAACCCAATAGGTGCTGAGGGTTTCTGATGGTACAGTTGATGCGGAATTACCTGTGCACAGCAGCTGAGCCATTCGTGTCGTACCGCCCAAGAGGCCCAGACACTCACAACCTGAGCGATGAGCCGGAACACCTCATTTTTCGCAGAGACGTGGCCCGGACTTCTCGGAGGTTCTCTTCGAAACCCGCTGTCCCGACGTCAGCGCTGACCCTTGGTGGAGATGTGGGGCCGGTCTTCACTAGCAGTCTGGACTGAAAGCGCACGGGCTTGGGCAACTACTACTTGTGGTGAACAGGATGGGAGCCATGCCTTGCCCGCCGTCCACAACGCAAAGGAACATTAAAGGGGCGAATGCTCCAGCCACACAAGACATCACAAGACTGAACAGGCACCATTGGCTATGGTCTTCATGCTGGAAGAAGGAATGCTTTAGACGTGGTTTGCAACCTGGGATCTGAAGGCGGTGCCTACCCCTGGAACCTTTCTGAAAGGGATGCAGGCGTGAAGCCGCAGCTTCGACTGCAGAATTTCTGGAGCTGGAGGGGAGTGCTTAGAATCGTTTGGCAAAGAACCGGCCATTCAGAATGAGAATATGCAAACTCCACGAATTCGAGTCTCTGCTACCAGTACTGGCATCCATGTGGTTGAGTTATGGATATCCGCCGAGGGTATAGGTTGTGAGAACCCCCCACACTCGGACCCCTTTTTTTGCCTTAAAGAGCGGCCCAAACCTCACCCTCCCCCCCCCCCCCCCCTCCCCCCCCCACCTGCCCCCCCCCCCTCTGCCCCCCCTGCCCTCTTTGCCCCCCCCCTTTCTGCCCCCCTGCCCCCCCTGCCCCCCCTCTGCCCCCCCCTCTCTGCCCCTTATCCTTGAGGGGCATGGCTCGACTTTATGATCAGTCAAGCACCCTCAACCTTGAACCTTGAACCTTGAACCCTAAACCCTAAACCAAAAAAAACCACCGTGAACCTTGAGCCCTGAGCCCTCAACCCTAAACTAACCCTCAACCCTAAACCCTAAACCCAACCCTTATTGCTTGGGGTCTAGCGACTTGGGCGCTGCGGAATCACCATGCTCGCGCGGAGGCGCTGGGCCGGGCCGAGGCGGGTCGCGTAGCGTTAAAATTGGCGAAAAGTTACAACATCTTCAACACTCCAAGCTTTCCGAAGCTCCCCAGACCCAAGCCACTTCTTTTTGCGGGCTCGGCACAAGACCTCCTGGAGGGAAATCCGTGGCTTCCTGCGACAGCGGGAGAATGCAACAGAAGCCCGGTTCTCTTTTCGCGCCAGCCGGCAAGCTTGTCAAGGCTTTGGAGTGCGAGGCTTGCGGGTTTCAAAGCATGGAGGGCAGGGTTCCGTTACAGCTTGTACATCCAAATGCCTTTCGATTCAACTGTGCGTCCATCCTGTGCACCAGGGTGGCGCTAACACTGAGAGGTGCACTCATTGCGAACACCCGCAAGCATCGTCTCTTAGTAGCTGTATGTCATCATATCCTCACTCTTCTTGCAGCTCGTCGAAATACTGAATGTCATGTGCAGTGTCTGGGCCGCTTAAAGGCCCGCTCATGGATACTTAATCTGCCCCACTTTGGCAGACTCGGTTGAATTTATCTACTGTGATCTACTGTGTTGTTGCCCGTCAAGAAGGGCTGCTACGACCATGAAGCCTTGCTGCATGCTGCTGCGGGCCCTTGCTGCTGCTGTTGGCTTGATCTAAAGCTGCAGAGGCAAAGCAAGACTCAAACTTCGAATGTGGGGCAGTGTTGCCAACCTGAACAGGCTGAGCATGGGCTTAGGATGCGTCTTCGTGGATGTCATTGAACCTTACTCTTTTCAAAGTCCTCGTAGTGAAGCCCGCCGGCTATAGCTCAACAAGTTCAGAAGTCTTGGCTGGGCCGCCTGCTGCTTTTGAGGCTTAACCAGTGGGATGAGCATTCCATTCCGGAGGCACCTTCCAACCCTGAGCTTCGAAGGGCACCCTGACTCACAGCACTTTTCCTCGGAGAGATGTGCGCCTAGCGCGCGGAGCCTCAGGATGCCGCACCAGCCGAGGCATTCGAGTTCGAGCAAGGTGTGACGTGGGAAGCGGTTGTAAACTTGTGAGGGGTCCACATTCTCCATGAGTTCATGCCGTTGGCTTCCTTGGCTTGTTTCTTGCGAACTTAGGGCACTGAGTACCGCCGTTTGGTCTTGCCACCGTTTTGTGACATGCGATGTACAGCCGGCACAAACACCAAAGATCGCGCTTGTCCGACGAAGACGAAGCGAAAGTGATTGAGGGCAGTTGGCTTCTTTGTGGAAAGAGATTCTTTTCCCTTCGTCACCCTGATCCCTTCCTGTGACTTCAGTAAGTCTACGCGATGCACTAGAGACGTGAGGGCAAACGACCTGAAACTGCAATCCTGCCCCAAACCCTAACGACCCAAACGCTCTGTCGATCAACCAAAGCCCCAACCCAGACTCCACCGAGTCAACTATACCCTAAACCCAAAAACCCTAAACCCTGAATCCAGGAGTATCCCCCTCCGTGCCTCCCCGGCGGCCTGGCAGATTCAGGCGGCCGCGCTGGGCAGGGACTTCGCCATCCTTCAGAAGACAAAGCACTGGCCGGCACGGAGGCTTCAGATTTGCATGTGCTCACCTCTTGAGTCGCTTTTGGCCGAATAATACCGAAGCCTCTGAAAACTCATGATGGTCGCTGCTAGGCCAAACTTCTGCTAGCAGGTCCGACACCACAATGGATGGTGCACACGACTATTTTGACGTGGGGTCTACACGTGCTCTTCGGGGTTGCAGACAACGTGACAACTTGGTGTTTTAACGCGTTGTAATGTTCAAGCCTCGCACAGCGAAGTCCCACCTACGAGCGACATACATGTCACCGATATGAAGAATGATACAGGCAGTCTTGGGTCAAGTCCGATACTCGTCCGATTCTCAGCCTCACATGACTCCAAGCAGGCTGGTGCAGCCCACCTCCCAGTGAAGCGGCTCGAGGGCCTGGGACAGCTGGACATGGGCAATTTGGCAGGTGGAGCGCATGATTCGGTGAGGCATGGGTTCAATCGCAATGACCCAAACCCAGCCTTTGTGTGGTGGGAAGCAAGAGAGTTCGTCAGCTCCTGCAAGGGACTTGGCTATGCCCCAGTTCGCTAAGCGTGGTGCCACTGCTTTCTTTAATAGTTTACGTAACACTCTAACGATCTACCGCAGGCAATGATCTCGACACCAGTCGACTTGAATGACCCGGTCGAAGTACCGGGTTGGGAGACAGGTGCGGTCATCAAAAGCGTACCATGCGGTACCATCGGCCCCGATTGAGATGTCTAAGGCGCTGAAGCTGATCTTTCGAATGATTGCAAGGGGCTCTGTTTACGTCTGAGCACCTTGCCTAGTTCCTAATCTGGCCAGCCTGGACACACAAGCAACAGGCATGGAGCGACAGCCTTTTGCCCCAGGGTGTGTTTCAACCCTGTTGGCGAGAGATGCCTAAAGAAATCTCCTGTCCGCTTTTTCCGCCCCCAGAGCACCATGGTTTGATGCCCAATTTCTTTCGCTGAGTACGAGCAACACACCCTACTTGTAGCGAACACTTCATGCTGGGCTGTCTTTTTGCAAGGCGGCCCTTGGCCAACCCCTCCTCATCTTCCATTGGTGGCGCCCACCTTACACGATGGGAGGGCTTGGGATACGAGCCAGTTGTGACTTAGCAAGTCACATCTTCAAGCGCTGACCTGAACCTCCGACCAGCACAGCCAAGATCCGCATGACAAACCCAACCCGGAGCCGATTGTTGGCCCAAAGAGCCGTGGCTGTCCGCGTGAGCCCTTGGGCAGCAGAAACGGCCCCTTGGCCGAATGCATGTCCTGGAAGGAAACGCGTTGAAACAGGATCTGCGGTTCAGGCGGTAGTAGTGGAGCTTGTCAGACTGGTGGTGCTTGTTCCATTTTGTTCCAAAAATCACTGCTACACTGACTACGGCTACGCGACGACCACTACCACCACGACCACTACTACCAGCACTTCCACCACCAAGGCCACCCCCACCATTACTACCACGACCGAACCTACCACAACTATTGTTTGCTAGCATTGCTCCTTGATCTGCTGCTGCTCCCACTGCGGTGATGACGCTAACGATAACGATGTTTGTTGTGTTCGCCATGGATGGGCACAACTAGCTTTAAGCATGAGAGCCCGAGCAGGATTTCAATTTTTCATTGCCATGCAAAGAGAAGTAAATCACTTGCGACTTGAGATGACCTCCACTGATGGCCCGGGCGTAGAATTAGGTGAGCATTGCTGCTCCTCACGGCTGACGCAGCAGGCGTCTGGTAGCAGAACCTCCGCCACCTTCCATGGACAGAGATTTCGAGAGCTATATGCACACTGTTCCAACAAGAGCTGAGGTTTCCCATCGAGGTGTAGCTCAAATCAGGGGCTTGGGTCTGATAGCATCCCTTTGCGACCTGGTTTGCGACCTGGGCCAAACATCAACATCTCAGAACCCTGAACGAACCGGGGATAGTGAGTCTGCTCGTTACGCCACACGCCTCACACAGTTGTACGGCACTGAAAGGTGCGCAGAGGTACCGGCGAATGTAAAAGTCCACAAGCTGTTGGCGAGCTAGCGAAAGTTCCGACATCCGAGACGTTGACTTAGGCTGTTGAAGAGTACTGTTCTTTATGTGTTGAATGCGGCGCTTCTGCGATAACTTTCACAGCAGGGTCGCAAATGGATCTCAATGACATGTCTGCAAAAGGATGTCCAACAAACAGGCGTCAGGAACACACACCCAAACCGCAAGCATGACTGGACACAACCGAAATCGCCGAACACCTCTACAGACCGTGTAGGCAGTCTGCCGCACGCTTTGGACTGTAAGAACCAAGGGTGTGTTTAAAAAGTTTCGACAGTATTCCGGCAGACCCACCCCCCCCCCCCCCAAAAAAAAAAAAAAGAAACACAAGAGCCTCGAACATGCATTGCTAATGTTGCTTGTTGGGATGTTCCCCCTTATACTAGTCCTTAATAGGGATGATAGTAAGGCGGACTACATTCTCTACTAAGGACTGTTAGATAAAGGGGGAACATCCCCAGGATGCCTGATCCCAGCCGGCCTTGGAAGCAACATCCGCAGCACAGACACTTCCTGGGCTTGTGTTCACTTGACCAGTTCTCAATGCTAAACCCTAAACCCTAAACCCTAAACCCTAAACCCTAAACCCTAAACCCTAAACCCTAAACCCTAAACCCTAAACCCTAAACCCAAGAGCTGAGCAACCTGAAAGATTTCTAGAGGGGTTCATGGCACCACTTGGGCTGTGCAAAAGCTTCGAGTCTGGAGCGCGCCCTCGAGCCCGGCTGAACAGTAAAGTGCATGCATGTCGTCTGAACATACTAAAGTAATGTCACCATTTAGTCATATTCGAACACAAGTGATCATATCCGCCGACCCCAGCAACAGCGGGGCGGCGTCAGTGAAGACCCTCCGTTTGTTTCCCCCCCCCCCCCCCCCGCATCCCTGCCCTGACCGCAACCTCTTCCCCCTTCCCCTTCCCAACCATTCCACTCCACCTCTCCACTTACCCATCCCGCTCCCCTCGCCCTTGGCCCCCCCACCGCCTGCTCCGCCCCTGACCAATCTTTTGCCCTGCCTTCCGCCCCTAACCCTCCCACATTCCACTCCACCTCTCCACTTACCCATCCCCCATCCCTTCCCCTGTGGCCCCACCCACCGCCCACTCCGCCCCTGACCAATCTTTTGTTGTGTTTGACACATCCCCACCCCTCCCCCACCCCCCCCCCCCCCCCCCAGTCACCCCCCCCCCCACCGCCTACTCCGACCACCTGATCAATCAAGGATTGCAGCGCACGCCTTCTGCCCCCAACTCCCTAATCCGCCACCAACCCTCTACCGTTGCCACTCCTCCTCTGTTCTGAGCCCTCTTTCACTCCCACCCTCTCTGCTTCCTGTCCTGCTTACCCATCCTCCTCCCCTACCCCTTCCGCTCCCCACCACCCTTCCCCTTCCCAACCAAGCCACTCCACCAAACCACTTGCCCACCCCGCTCCCCTCCCCCTTACCCCCCCCCGACACCCTCTACCGCCTACTCCGCCCCTCACCAATGTCGGCACTGTAGGCCTACCCTCCACCGCCTACTCGCCAATCTTTGCAATTTCAGGGATTGCAATCCACGCCCGCCCTGACCTCATCGATGCCCACTCCCGAATCCGCCACCAACCCTCTACCGTCACCTCATCTCCACGCCCCCCCACCCACACACGCCCTCCCTACCCTTTCCCCCTCCCCACCACCCTTCCCCTCTCCACTAACCCATCCTCCACTGTGGCCCCACCCCCGCCCGGGCCTCCTCCGCCCTGACCAATCTTTTTGTGTTTGAGACATCCCCACCCTTCCCATGCCTGCCTACTCCGACCAATTTTCTTGTGTTTCAGGCATCCGCCCCCAACTCCCTGGTGAATCAGGGATTGCAGCTCAGGCGGGCCTGCTCTGGAGATCGGACGCGGTACTCACGTCACTGGCCCTTTTGGGGGTCGGCGGCACTGGCGGTAGCCATTAAATCGGGCAGCGCGAGGTCCCCAAAGGACCGAGCAAATGCGGACCTTTTAGCCCGGGTCGTCCCGGGAACAGCCTTGCTGGCCTCTGGCCTTCTGCGAAGCAGAATTTCAGGCCTAGCGGCACGGGCCGGCCCCCGCCCCCCAAAGCACGAAACCTTGAACCTTGGCACTGTCTTCTCTTTCCCGTGTCTTTGTCCTCTCCTTCTCTCTGTCTCTCTTTCTCCTGCCTTCGCCACCCCTCCCTCCCCCACCCCCCCCCCGCGCGCCGGCGCGCGCGCGCGCGCGCGCGCACCCGCATCAGGAGCATCAGTGGGGTTGGTTTGGGGGCCTTAAAAGCATTCTATGCATGCGTTTTGCCTTCGAAAAACCTTCAGAAAACGCTGTAAACACGTGTTTTTGGGCTTGGGAAGCCTTTTGGGACCCAGGAAAGGGAGCATCATGAGCATCAGCGGCCTCCCCCAGGCCATCCAAAACCCCCTTAAACACGCCGATTGTATGTGCTTGAACGCTTGCGTGCCCACGAAACCCCCAAAAGCAAGACCCCGAATGCCCTTAAGGGCATTCGGGGTCCTGCTGTTCGGGTGTTTTGTAGGCACGAAGCCGTTCGAGCGCGTAAAATGAGCGATTTTAGGGGCGTTTTTACGTGGACCCACAAAACACTCGGTATTTACGAGGTTTTCTGCTGTTGGAACCCCCCCCAAACCGAGCATCATGAGCATCAGCTGGGTCTCTGGGCCGTCGGCCCGGACCCCCCCACGAAGCCCATGAGAAGCGATGGCTCGATGATGCGCCCGGACCCCGCGCATCAGCAGCATCAGCAGACCCCCCCCCGGACGTGGGTTTCGATGATGCGCACTTTGGGGGCGGGTCAAGGGCAACAGGGGTGGGGGTCGGAGGCACGCGTGAAAAACCTCATAAAAACACGGTATTTACGGTGATTTCAGCGTTTTTCAGCGTTTTTTATTGCCTTGGGCCCGCGGGCCAGGGCTGCTGATGCTCATGATGCTCGCCTGGTTTTGGGCTTCCGGTACCCCCCCCAAACCTTGAAAAACGTGGTTTCGGCCTGGCGCGCGCCCCATGTGAAAAGCTAGGGCCGATGATGCGCGCCCGTGAGGGTTTAATGGGGTGCTGCGGGTGTTTTCTGGCCTCGGTTTTTCGTAAAAACCCATGGTTTTTACGAGGTTTTCGTGCTTTTCGCACCACCGCGTGTTGCGTCCCCTTGGATGCCGTTTTGGAGGCCTCCCGAAGGGCCCCGCGCGAATTTGAAGCAATTTTGGGCGGGGTCGGCGGCTCGGGCGCTCGCCCCTTAAAGCTAGCGCTTTAGTGCGACGCGGGCTCCGCCCTGGACCACGGGCGGCGCGGGGGCCGGATTAGGCCGGACGCCAGTGCCGCCGACCCCCGCGTGCCGCCGGTGAACGGTTTTTTTTTCGTGGTTTTTTGCGTCGCCACGGAGGCCCCCAGAGGGCGCGCATCATGAGCATCAGCGGGTCCAGCCCGGGACCCCCAGGCGCGCATCAGGAGCATCAGCGGCTCCCGGGGCGGGACCGCGGGGGGGCATCAGGAGCATGATGCCCCCCAAAGGGCGAAGCATAAGCGACGTGTCTAAGCCCGGGGCTAGGAAAAAGGGAGTTTAGGGGCCTTATAAAGTGCTTAGAAACGTTAAAGGAGTCTCGGAGCCTCAAACGCTTAGAGATTTGAAAGGAGTTTAGGGGCCTGAAAATGCTTAGAAACTTAACGCTTAGAGATTTTAAGGGAGTATAGGGGCCTCAACATGCTTAGAAACTGCTCGCCCCGGGCTTCTGCGTGCGCTGCCCGCCCATGGGCGCAGCCCCTTAAAATCGGGCAGCGCCGAGGTCCCAAAGGACCGAGCAAATGCGGACCTTTAAACCCGGGTCGTCCCGGGAATAGCCTTGCTGGCCTCTGGCCTTCTGCGAAGCAGAATTAGGCCGGACGCCAGTGCCGCCGACCCCCGCGTGCCGCCGGTGAACGGTGTTTTTTTCTCGTGGTTTTTTGCGTCGCCACGGAGGCCCCCAGAAGGCGCGCATCATGAGCATCAGCGGGTCCAGCCCGGGACCCCCAGGCGCGCATCAGGAGCATCAGCGGCTCCCGGGGCGGGACCCCGGGGGGCGCATCAGGAGCATGATGCCCCCCAAAGGGCGGGCATAAGCGACGTGTCTAAGCCCGGGGCTAGGAAAAAGGGAGTTTAGGTAAAGTGCTTAGAAACGTTAAGGGAGTCTAGGAGCCTCAAACGCTTAGAGATTTGAAGGGAGTTTAGGGGCCTAAAAATGCTTAGAAACTTAACGCTTAGAGATTTTAAGGGAGTTTAGGGGCCTCAACATGCTTAGAAACTGCTCGCCCCGGGCTTCTGCGTGCGCTGCCCGCCCATGGGCGCAGCCCCTTAAAATCGGGCAGCGCGAGGTCCCCAAAGGACCGAGCAAATGCGGACCTTTTAACCCGGGTCGTCCCGGGAATAGCCTTGCTGGCCTCTGGCCTTCTGCGAAGCAGAATTAGGCCGGACGCCAGTGCCGCCGACCCCCGCGTGCCGCCGGTGAACGGTTTTTTTTTCGTGGTTTTTTGCGTCGCCACGGAGGCCCCCAGAGGGCGCGCATCATGAGCATCAGCGGGTCCAGCCCGGGACCCCCAGGCGCGCATCAGGAGCATCAGCGGCTCCCGGGGCGGGACCCCGGGGGCGCATCAGGAGCATGATGCCCCCCTAAGGGCGGGCATAAGCGACGTGTCTCAGCCCGGGCTAGGAAAAAGGGAGTTTAGGGGCCTTATAAAGTGCTTAGAAACTTTAAGGGAGTCTAGGAGCCTCAAACGAGTTTAGGGGCCTGAAAATGCTTAGAAACTTTAAGGGAGTTGAGGAGCCTCGAACGCTTAGAGATTTTAAGGGAGTTTAGGGGCCTCAAAATGCTTAGAAACTGCTCGCCCCGCGCTTCTGCCTGCGCTGCCCGCCCATGGGCGCAGCCCCTTAAAATACTCATCCTGTCAAATTGAGGGGAACCGTAAATCAGCCCCAGGGGTGCGAGTTTGGCGTACCCTCCCAAGCCATCCCGAGCCCCCCACATCAGAGTTCTTGGATGGGTCACTGGGTTTAGGGTTTAAGGGTTTAAGGGTTTAAGGGTTTAGGGTTTGGGGTTTAGGGTCTTAAAATCGTGATCCACAGTTGTGGATTTGTCTGCTGTGCATTCACGATTCTTGATCTTAGAACAACAAGGAGAGCGCCAAAACGAGTAAGCTAAAAAGAAAGCAAACACCACAAGCAACAGGCAGAAAGCGAAACATGAAGAAAGCGGGCAAAAAAGAAACAACAGAAACAGCAAAGCAGCAAAAAAAAGTCGGGCCCGGGGGGGTGCGTCCTTGTTGTGAGATGTGGAGCTGTCCTTCGTGTGTGTAACGTGCCGAGCCGAGCAAAAGAATGACTCGCCCAACACCAAGAAGAGGACGCGCGCTCCGAGTTTGTAGGGCAGTAGAGATTGTGCCGGACGGTCCCACATAGCACCAAGTTTTTGAACTCTCGTGGTACACTGAAGTTTCGGGCAACAATGCGGCTATACATACAGGAACAGCTGCTCCAGATCTCACACCCTTGTGGAACAAACCACATTCCCGCATGGTTTCGCATGCTGTACCACGGTATCAGGCACCGGTCTTCAGTTGGGCGACAAGCTCGCTTATGACGGATGGACAGGCAGAGAGTGAAAGAGGGCGAGAGAAAGGGAGATGGAGAGGGAAAGCGAGGGGGAGGAAGGACAGGAGTTAAGAGATGGAGCTGGAGATGAACATGAGCATGTGACGGTGGATTTGAATTTGAGATACCAGGCTAGCAGATAAGGAAATCGCCAGATGGTTGGATGCTAGACAGATACCAAACAGCAGCAGGCGGCCACGTTCATAGAACCTAGCGAAAGTCTTCGGTTTTATCTGGTTTGCAAGAGTGGCGGGTAGGCCACACTCCTGCTCCTGACTGTCTAAGAGGGTGCGCAAGACAGCTCCGGAAGACTTGACCGTGACGATTGACGCATCGTAGAGTCAGACGAAGGAAGGGCGTGCCTCGGCATCCTTGCGCTTTACCAGACTCAGGACCAACCCAGCACGCACTTGCGGGTCACTGTCAGTAGAAGTACAAGCTCTGAAAGCCAAGCATCGCGTCTGCGTTCCGGAAACTATTTTCCGACCAGCCACGAAACCTGCAGTCACTCCATCAAAAGCTAGCATGGCATTTACAAGTTCGGTTAGAGGGTCGCCGCCCGTCAGTGCTGGTCCTTCTTGCATAGCAGGCACTGTGAAAGGTGCTCATGGATCTAGGGACCCGACCTCCTGCATTCACCTTGTAGATCTCGTAGTCAAATCGTCGACGGTACATTCGCCAGGTGCTTTGGTCTTCAAAGCATCCTCACGGCAAAGGCCAATGCGATCCCAGGCAGACAATTCCGTTCCTGCAGCCGACTTTCTTGGTGATGTTGCACTTGTAAGTGAAGAAGGCCCAAGCCACAGGCACACGACCCTTGCCTGCTCTTTCTACAGAAGAGCTATTAAACCCTTTCAAGCCCTGGCAACTCTACAAAATAGCGCGAACTCACTGAGCATGTGCCCCGATGGCTCCTGCATAGCAGTTCTGCTTGTATGCCTCGCCGGAGACCAAGGCTTCAGGCAAAGGTCGAAAGCCGATCTCCTGGTGTGGACACTTCTAGTCGACTCGAGCAGCTTGAGCATTCAATACCTAAGGGCTTCGGGGTCTTGAAAGCTTGACCGCGGTTGGGAAAGTCATACTCGCACCACGCGCCTCCGGGTTCACGATATCGGGGCTAGAGGGCATACATGCCCATCTCAAACTTCATTTATGCTATTTCATTTATGCCAGGCTCGGGTCAACCTACTCCGCCTAGAGGTAGTATAACGTTGCGTGTAGATGACATCCCGGTCAAGCGGACACTCTCGAGACTCTATAAGCTTCAGCGGCTTCGGAGTTTCGGCGTGGCAGAACAGCAAACTTCATCAGCCGGAGGCCTCTCTGAATACATGTCTTGGCCGAGTGCAGCCCATGCACTGCGAAGACCTCTTCCCTAGACCCTCAACTGGCTCAAAACCCTAAAACCCTAAACCCGAAACCCTAACCCCAAACCCGAAACCCCCAAGTACCCCTAAACCCTAAACCTAAACCCCCACATACCCCCTAAACCCCTAAACCCAACTCCGACATTCACCCCCAACAGCTGGGGAGCCTCTGAGGTGGGGGGCTCTGGGAGTCGATCTAGGGCCTGCGAACCGCTTGCGGCAGCCTGGCACTTGGCAACGCACAAGCATTGTGGGGGCTTTCAGGATGTGTCAGAGAGGGTTTAGGGTTTAGGGTAAACTTAGGGTTTAGGCTTTACGGTCTATAGGGTTTAGGGTTTAGGGCTTAGGGTTTGGAACTTCAGGAAACGGACTGGAGAAGATGCTGATTCGATTCGGCTTAAGGAATAGTGCGACATAATGCCTGCACGGAATAAAAACGAAGTCCTGAAACGTTGCTGGCAGAAAGACTTCAAGAACTAACATAAACTCCTAACTTAACCCAGACCGGAGCAGCCACGGCCCGTCGCAAAGAACGCTCGAGAGTTCTCGTGATGCGCGCGCATGTGTGGCCTCGTCGTAGAGTAGCCGATACGCATCCTCCATGGCTTGCCTTGGAGAGTCTGAGTCTGAACAGCAAAAATGGCGGGATTATGTGTCCTGGGGCTCATGCGGAGTGCCGATTTCATGCATCTCATGCATGCCTTTTGATGTTGTGGCACAACTTCAAAGCAACCGCATGAAGGCGTAAGACACATCACCCAGGATCCAAACCCTGCTCGTACAACAGGCCGAACCCCTGCCGTCTGTGAAGGCTTGCGAGCGTTGGCGCGAACTGGCCCCAGTCATGGCTGGTTGGGAATTTGCAAAGCAACAACGCCGTCTCCCATCCCAACCCGGTGCCTGAAGCCTGAACCTCCCCCCCGACATCCTTCATCAACTTTCCAGCTTAAGGCTTAAGTGGGCCCGCCATCCCCAGTGCTGCACAGAAGCCGGCGCCAGGTTGGGTAGCCACCTTCCTGGACAGGGCAACCGACAGGGTCCACGAGCTTTCACATTTGGATTTAAGCTGCTGTCTACGTGCAAAGAACCCGGATAGTCCCGACAACCTCGCACCCGACACAAACCCCCAGAAAGCCTTAGCGCCATCCTCGTTGTCGTATCCCTTGTAGGCCAACCGGCGAAAAGACACGGAAACATGACCCTTCCCACCTCCCAGACTCGACGACCCTCATCAGAACCCCTGCACGGCGAATTCCCTGAACGCAAGCACTTCCGAATATGAACAAGAAATCAGCCCAACAAGTGCCTCGGAGGCCAGGATCTCGAGAACCCCGTCCAGGTCGAGATCCAGCGCATGCGACTTGCACCAGGCGATGATCCTCACACAGCTGATAGATCGAATCGTACAGTGTAAAAAAAGTAGAGATTGGAACAGAAAAGAATAGAGCAGAATGGAATAGAATGGAATAGAAGTAGAAAGGACTAGAATAAAACAGAATGATATACATATATATATATATACATAATATAGATATGTATGGTACTCCCCTCAGTTGTCTACCTATTTCGGCCCTTCCATAGGTCTAGTGTGTGGGTTCTGAGTATAAGTTTCTTTATTCTGCAGGTTGAGGATTTAGGGCTTTAATATTCGGCACGGAAAGCCGAGCCACATTGAGAAGTGCTTCGCGCAAGGAGGATGGAGATATCTAATCTGCCGAGATCAGATCTAATCTCCCCCTGGACTGAAGAATTAGGGTCTCCGAGAAACTCTTTCCAGGAATCTCCAGCCTTCAATCTTCAATCCGTGGGGAAGATTAGATCAAATCTCTCGATATTATATCTAATCTTCGGAGGTTGGATCAAATCTCCTACGGGTAAATCCAGAGGGAGCAGATCTAATCCAACTATGCCAAGACTACAGTTATGCAGCCACATGCGCGCTCACCGGCAGTTCTCGAGATTCTGGTAGCGGTGTATACTGGAGACTAAGTATGTTTGTTGTAGTGAGTAGAACTAAAATCTTCACGGTAGTTCCGTGCCAAGTTGAGCATGTAAATAATATGAAGACCTGATTGACAAAGAGGTCCCTCATATTTCTCAAGTCTCGGAAAAGACCGGTACTGTCGAACATTAAAATGAACCGACGCGGTGGGAAGTTCTATGATGAGAGACTAAACGGCAGTTTAATCATGTAAGCTGCTTAAATAACATATAACTGACCTCCAGCTCTGTCCATCAAAATGGTGCTAGCTCGGCGAAGGCATTGAACTTCAGCATACTATTGGATGGAGGCCATGAGAAGTCGTATTCTGCCCTAAACAAAATAATGCTGATTTTTGATGGGTTCATTAATTTCAGGAATGTAACGGATGTATTGTCAATTTGGGGTCGCTATAATGTACTTAAGAGCCTGATTCTACATGTTCTATAGCGAATTGAGCGATGTATGTTCAGGTTCCGTGCCAATTGTCATCAGAACTCCAGTGATGCAATAACTCGCCCCCAATATTCTCATTCAAGAGACAGCACTGTTAAACCTCTTTCATCGTCCCTGACCAAAAGGCCAGCTGTTTAAGATCGTGATGCTGCAACTTCCGCAATTTCATGACACAACGACTGGAAGATTTTGAACCGTCAGTTGGGGAAAGCCGGCTATGAGCAAGAATGTAGCCAAACTCACAATATCACGAACATTGGTTGATGTTTATCCAATAGAAGGTCATTCATGAACTCCGACTTCAAGTTGTGCCGATGTATACTCTTAGTCGTAATTCCCGCTTACATTGAACACGTACATAGTTTAAAAGACTTGGTTGACATGGTTGGAGGTCCAGTGCATGTCTCGATTTACACTTAGATGGACGGTAATATTGAAAAAGACAAAAAAAAGAAGGACAGCTACCGGGACTACAGATGCGCCAAACGAGCTTCGGCGTTCAAAGTGACACAGTCTTGCCAAGTTGAACACGTACAGGGTTTAAAGCATCTGATTGACATATTTGGAGGTCCAGTACCTGTCTCAGATACATCGATAATCTTAGATGGCCGGCAATATTGAAAGAAGATGAAGGACAGCTACTGGGACAACCGATGTGCCGAATGAGCTCCGGCGGTCAAAGTGAGAAGCTAATTTGCATCATGTTTAGTAGCCGGACTTCTAAGGTTGCAACAAGAAAAGGATTGGTCAGATGCCATTTGTTCCTACACGGCACTGACCGTACATCCAGTACTGACATTAAATTTGAACAGCCGTATGATATTCTCGTTGGTTTAAGCCTTTCAGCCTCCAATTCTGGCTTGTGTCTACTTGGGGTCACCAAAGTATTCAGGAGCATGATTCTGCAAGCTCTATTGCGGAAGCTCATGACAATATACAAGTTCGAGGCCACTTGCTTTTTATAGCTGAATTTGTGGAATGACTGCCACAAAAAAGGAAGATACGGCACGGGGGCGGGGGGAGCATATAAATATATACATATGGCCAATATATATACATATACATACATGCATATACATAGGTAGTTAAGCACTCAACTCGAAAAGCGCTTGCAAGGCGCTGGCGATAGGGTTGGCCAACGTCGCCTGGCTCCCTGGGTTTCTCCAATGCAGCCTCGAGCTGCGCATAGAGCCCCTGGATCTCAAAGGCCTTCCCAGGTTTAGGGAACCCTAGGGCTTAGGGTTTGGGGTTTAGGGTTTGGGGTTTGGGGTGCCTGCTCCCGAACCCGAACCACAACCGGGTCGGGTTCGGATTCGGGTTCACTTGTCAAAGCAGGATGGTTTGGGTTTCTGGTTTGGGTTCGTCCCGCTGTTTTTGTAGGTCCTTGGGGATGGGCGGGCTTGGGATCGGGAAAATCATCCCAAACCCTTACCCCCTGATACCCCTGGAAACCCTAATGCCGAAACTAGAAACCTAGACCCAAGAAGCCATAAACGTCAAATCTCTAAACCCTAAAACGCCCTCAACCCTTCAAAACCCAAACCCCAAAAGTAAGCACTAGACTCCACAATCTTAAACCCTACGTTCTAAACCCAAAAACCCTAAATAACCCGAACTACAAGCCCCAATCCCGAAATCTCAACAGGCATAGGATGGCTTTGGTGAGAGTTTCGAGTGAGTTTCTGAAAAGGGTGGGGGAGGCCTGCACGGGGGGGGGGGGGGTCGGGTGGAGCCTGTACGCAGGGGTGGCTGACCCCCAATATACATCCCGAAATAGCAGGATCCCCTGAAAAAAGGACCCCAATGAGGTACCCCTAATTTCGGAAACCGCGCAGTGTTTTTCGACTGTTTCTGGAGGTTGGCAGCGTTTCGAGATTGCCAAGTGGGTGGTTGCGATAGGTCTCCTTGCAAATGGGCTCCCCGGCTGGAATTGGAACCCTTGTGTCGGATTGAAATTAGCTTATCTAAGGGGGTCCTTTGTCTTCTTTCTTCTCCTTGTTCGCTTCGTTCACGGTCTACATTATTACTCTTCAGGCGCGAGCTTATCATTTGCTATATTTATAGCCGGGCTTTTGGGGGGCCCACTCTGGCACCGCGGTATTCGTATTAAGATGTGCCCTTGACATATTGTTCACTGGAGTCCGAAAGAACGAACTTGCTATGAAAGTGTCCGGCTATGCAAAGCCGATGCTGGATCTTGACTTGAAGCTGGCACCACAGGAGTGCTGAATTGTGACAATGCCACTCCTACTTCTGAGGCTGGCGCGCAAAATGAATCCTACAAACACCGCCCTGCGGACAGCTGACCCAGAACTAAGTCTCCACAAATGGAAGCTATGGGGTGGCTCACACTCCGCTGCAAAAGATCTCAAGGGGCAAACATGTAAAGAACGCTAAAGGGGGCTTTCAATAAGATCTTTAGCAGCTCCTTAGTTCAAAACCCCAAAGTGCTGCACACAAAGCCCACCTGCCTGGTTCCTAGTAGGGAATGAGGGTATGAGTGCCCTACATAACCCTTAAAGGGTATACATAGGGCCCTCATTCCCTCATGCCCTACTCAGAACCAGATTAAAGTCAGGCTTGGTTCGTACACTCACTGCCTTGCATAGGCTTGGGCCTATGGCATGCCGAGCTGCAATGTCACCGAACGCTTCAAGCAGGAAACTGTTCTGAGTACATTCAACCCTCTACTTGATTCTCAGTTGTATCCATGCTTTGCAGAGGTCTGCCGGAAGAACATTCGGAAGAACATCGCAGCACCCTGACGTTGCAAACCCTTGAATGGCAAGGGGCCTTCAGCTTCTTCGTGGATACCCGTGTTTCAGTGGCGCTGCTGGGCTGCTGTCCCATGGCAAGGCAGATACTGGCCTCTGCTAAAGTGACAGTTCTGGAATGTTCTGAGCCTTAGGACTCAGGAAAACAAGAGTTGGTTAGCAGCTTGAGACTTGCGACGAGCCTCCATATGTGACAGTGCCAATATGTGGCTGTGTGCGTTCTTTCGCTGATGCCCTGTGTCCCGAAGCAACGCTTCATTTCAGGACCGTGTAACTTCATCTAGCCGAGGCTGATTCTTCGTGGAGCTGGGCTGTGAGTTCACAGCCATGCGACGTCGATATTTGCTCTGCCGATGAGTCGGGGACTCTGTGCTTCTATCAAGGCTGCAAGAACACCTGAGGAACCTTGCGAGAAATAAGATACTGTGTCAAGAACTCAGGCTTGCGTGGTGCGTGGGGGGCACCTCGGCCCTAGGCATGTCTACCATGGAATCCGCAACTTCCTACCTGGAAAAAACCTTGAGCCAGGTGTTTTTTTCTTGTGTACTGTAAAGATGGGCAGGTGCCTGTGGGCAGGGAAGTTTCTTGTCCGAGCCTGTCGACCTTGCATTGCCGCTCATTTCTGGGGACTCACCGGTCATGACACGGATGCAACACACACCCATTTGGCCATCCAAGCCGCAAGGAACAGTCCTGCTTTTTGGCCTCCTGAGACTTCGTGGCGACTGGCACTCTGTTGAACAACGACATGCGAGATCATGGATATTATGGCTTTAAGGTCCGGCTACAATCTCGACTTGCCAAAACTCTTGTCCAACTTCCAAAGCTATGAAATCTTGGCGCTGCTCATCTGTAGACAACAGAGGGTTGGCTTTCGTGCGAAATGATATCGCATGCCGCAGATGCAGTTGGCAATTATGTTCAACGGTAGACCTGAATCGTCTAATATCAGAGAGCCGTGCGCATTTTGCGCATGAATGGAAAAAACTGAAATCACGTTGAAGACTGCACATGGTAGACTTCTGTGCACACGGTTGGCCTGCAATGTCCTCGCCTGTCGTCCTATGGTTCTGCATAGTAACTGCATAGTAATTACCATGCGTGGGCGACACCCAGGACAACCATGCGCAACGAGTTCCACCAAGAAGATCGACGATACATCGAGTGGGCGAAGCAAATAGACCAATCGCCCACTGCGTGCATGGCAAGCAGCATCGTTGGAACGATATGTGGAACGTGCTGGTGTGCCAACATCGACGGTCATCGACAGTGGCCTGTGCCATCTGAGACATCGCTATAAATAGGTGGTAAAGAATGCCTGTTGCAAGAGGAGTGGACGTGTCTGCCCTGTTGAATTGTTGCATTACGCTGTGCTGTACATGTAACCCTGCGTTTTTGATAGTCCTTGCTCCACGGAAACAGACGCGTTTTATTTGCTTTTCTGCTTGGGTTTTGTCCTGCATGTAACGGGGTTAGGATCTTACGTTGTAACTTCAAGAATTCCAGGAAGTATGCGACATTTGCTTTGCAGGTTCATTGCTTCCGGGAGTGGGGTCTGTTCGAGCTGGTTCTTGATCAACCTCTGGGCCCAGGATACTAGCGCTGGATTGTGTGTGTGTGTGTTGTTCGTGCCATGCTATTCTTTTTCTTGGCGTGTCGCACAGGATTTTGTATTGAAGGGCGCGGCCGTGCACCCAGAAGCTAGACTTCTGCCGACTCCTCTTGCGAAAGTAACGCAAATGCTCGCCAGGCCGCCAGGTGCAACCTGCGACGATAAAATGGCCATGCTCTCGAAATGCAGAGCCGACTGCAGTGATGAAATGACTAAGCCTTACTAAGCAATCTAAGCACTCCCAGGCCACTGCTTCTCAGGCAGATGCCTCGCTCCGGGTGCACTTTGAAACCGTGCACGAAGAACCAAGGGGTGAGCGGGAGTCACATCAACGACCCCTGCCACAGCTGCCAGGTACAACAGCAATGGCAGATAATTACGAGTACCATTGATCTTGCAAGTTAACATCTTGATGCCAAAGTTGCAGCATGGGCACTTGGCAATTGTCTCATAAACGTTAACTACGACGGCTGGCATCCTCGAACTAGCACAGAGTATGGGCTGACTAGCGAGACCGGCTCATCTAAATAATCAACAGGGCGAATCCAGCCGCGACAGCCTGAAATATCCAGGACATCTTTTGCCCACAGGGCTTGAGCTGCTGCATACCTGACGAAGACTGAACGGGATCTCTTTGCATCATGGGATACTCTCATGGCTGCGGCCCCCTGAGAGCCCAAGCTTCGAGATGACCTGCTTCTGCAGTGGCCACTCGCCCGAAAGCAAAGATCCGCAAACAAAAAACTCTGCGACACAAGCACACGCGCGCGCGCGCACGCGCACGCACACGCACACGCACACGCACACGCACAGGCACAGGCACATGTCTGCAGGCACAGGCACACGCACACGCACAGGGCACAGCGCACACGCACCGCGCACACGCGCACACCCACACACCCACACACCCACCCACCCACCCACACCCACACACCCACACACCCCCACACCCCCACACCCCCACACCCCCACACCCCCACACCCCCACACACCCACACACCCACACACCCACACACCCACACACCCACACACCCACACACCCACACACCCACACACCCACACACCCACACACCCACACACCCACACACCCACACACCCACACACCCACACACACACACACACACACGCACACACACCACACACACACACGCACACGCACACGCACACGCACACGCACACGCACACGCACACGCACAGCGCACGCGCACGCGCACGCGCACGCGCGCACGCACGCGCGCGCGCGCGCGCGCACGCACGCACGCACGCCGCACGCACGCACGCACGCACGCACGCACGCACACACCCACACACCCACACACCCCACACACCCAACACACCACACACACACACACGCACACACACACACAGCACACACGCACACACGCACACACACACCACGCACACACACGCACACGCACACAAGCACACACGCACACGCACACGCACACGCGCACGCGCACGCACGCACGCGCCGCGCGCGCGCGCGCGCGCGCGCGCGCGCCGGCGCGCGCCGCGCACGCACGCACGCACGCACGCACGCACGCACGCACGCACGCACGCGCACGCACGCACGCACGCACGCACGCACGCACGCACGCACGCACGCACGCACGCACCACACCCACACACCACACACACACACACACACACACACACACACACACACACACACACACACACACACACAACACACACACACACACATGAACACACACACACACACACACACACACAGAGACACAGAGACACAGAGACCCAGAGACGCAGAGACCCAGTTGGGACTAAAATCTTAGCCGAGCGGCAGCTGTGGAGGGTAGACCACTAATCACAATCGCTGCCCAGGTCCATGGAAGAACCTTCGAAGAGGGATGAGGAGCGAACCGATGCATCTTCATGCATGGGCCACGAGTCGCGCTGCTACATGGGCACAGGACAATATTCAGGCATACCTTACCCAGCAGCAAGCCCATTTATAAACAAGCAGGGGACGCTGTGCCGAAGTGCTAACTGCTGGCGACAGCACTGTTTAAGAATCCCCCAACCCCCCCCCCCCCCCACCAAAAGGGAGAGACCCGAGGTAGGCTTGGCGCTCCTTGGAACGCTGGAAAAATTCGCATTCTGAACCTTTTTTGGTGCCAGTTCGGGAGAATTGTGGGGGAGAGGTCGGTCGCTATGGCGAAGGTACTCTTAACTACCTCCATGCTGCTGTAAGCCGGCAAATGCGGTGTACGGTGCTGCCGCGTGGCTACTGCTGGCACCCAAACCATCTCGCCGGCTCGACACTATTTCGGAGAACAGCTTCGGATTCAGCCCAACCTCCGCACGAAGCACCTGAGATGGGACCCGCGGGCAAGCAAGGACTAGGGCTTCAGGTTTAGGTTTTAATTAGCGCTCACGGACTTGGATGCAAATCTTGTTTGACGGTCACGCAAGGACTTCAGGAACAAGCTGCTAAAAAAGTTGTGTGCTTCCAGCCAAACGCGACAAAGCGTGGCAATACAACGCCCCATCTTCTATCACATGTTTCGAGTACACTCTACGCTTCGGATGGTACTCTTCCAGTGCTTTCATCCAGGCGCGTCCATCCGGCGAAGGTGCTTCAGGTGGGTGTCTCGATCTGGGGGCATGGGAGCTCGGAGCAAGCAATTCCGGCCTGAGAAAGTCACACCGGGGAAAGTCGATTCGGGTCAAGTTCTGACTTGGTTCAAGCAAAACTCCCTGCGATCATGCTTGCTTTTCATTGGTTTTCACCCTGGTTCTGACGGAATCTCTCTGGGATCCATGCGTTTCGTTTCGAGTCTCGGTTGCAGCTAGGTTTACACAACACTTCCCGATCCCATTCTTCCCTTGCTTCACTCACCCTCTTTCCGATGGCTTGATCTCCCTGTCAAGACTCGAATCAGGTCGGAAGCGGGCAGAAATCCTTCCTCTGAATTGACCCTTTGTGCGATTCTCAGGCAATGAGTTCGGCAGAAGTCTACAACCTTGCTGCCGGCGGCGCATGAGCATGGGACGACCCTTAACATAGTTTGGGTTACTTGAACAAATTCATTAACTTAATTCGGTATAATTCTAGAATTTAATGATTCAATGAATCTTTTATCTAAGTTCACCTAAGTAATTAAATTTGTAACTATTTTATGAATTTCGTTACAAATTCAATTTTGTATTTACTTACCAACTTACCGCTGTGCATTACCCTGGTGCAGCCAGTACTCCAGCTTGCAGCATCTCGTGCTTAGTCCGACATAAGGGGGAGAAGAGCTTCGAGTCTGCCTCTTGCTAACTGTGGGCGATGCGACACATGAATTGTCGAATCTGACCCCCCGCCCCCTCTTCTCCCCTTTGCAATCCTGGTCGTCCTAGGCTTGTATGTAGTTGCACACACACACACAGACACACACAGAGACGAACACAAAACCTCGAAACCAAACCCTGAAACCTGGAACTTAAAGTTCAAGCACCGAATCAGATGTGGGACTCCCCCACCTGAAGCCTAAAAACAAAAAGCCCTCCGCCCTACAACAACCCTGCCTTGCAGCCCCACCATGCTCCGATGGCACGATCCCACACCCCGGAACTCCAAAGGATCTGGCCAGTACACATGCGTGATTTGCGTTCCTAGGCCACAGCCTTCAGTAGCCGTGTCCATGCTGCGCCAGTCTTGCCTGAGATTGTTTGGAAGATGCCTCATGAGGATTCGAAGGCTGCTACTCTACAAATCTCTAGAAGTAAAGGCTTTGAAGCCTCGGCATGTAAGAAGGCTTTTGTCACAGGATAGCCTAGGAACCGTGGGATGTTGCCGTCACTTTACTCGAAAACAAAAATGAAGGGCCGAAGCTCAAGCACTCCACATCCACCGCCACGCGGTTCGCGAATGCAGGAAGCACCTGGGAAAGGGTTTATAGTTCGGGGATTCTCTGACTCTGGCTTGACTAGGTAGAAGAATTATGGAAGGTGTGCCGTTGCGGGTTTAACTGCGGCCTTGTGGCCTGAGGGGTTGCACTGCAAAGAATCATCTACAGTCGCCACGAGCGATGTGTGCACTTAGCTTCTTGAACATGAAGGAATTGTGGCCAGCTGAGGGCCTGATAAAGTGGAATTTTCCGGGTTTCACCTCAAACACTGTGGCACAGACATCTGGATTTCAAAGTTGCGAGGTACGGGAATGGTGTCCAGCTAGGAAAACCTACAAGCAGACACTACCGACAGTATTTACTCTGATTCACACAGAAGTGCATGCACAATGTACACACGCACAGCACACATGTTGAGGAGATGCTGCACCTGGCCAGCGAAGGTCCCTTTTCTAGCCTGCCGCTGCCGGAGAAGACGAGCTTTTGCCTCTAGCCTGGCCATTGCCGGAGGACCAGCTTCTGCTTGGTATAAAAGGCAGCACTGGTAGAGGCAACAGCCACATGGATCCATTATGCTATGCGAACTTTGCAGAGTACGTTAAGGAGCCCGAGCCTGCTTTCTCCCACTGCCACCACCATTGGCTTCTTGTTTCCACTGGGCAGCAAGTTATCGAAAGTCGTCTTTGGCACAGATCCTGGCATCTGAGGAGACACAGCTTGCCTTCCGGCGCCACTGCTCGCTCCACAACCCATGACACAGGTGGGAGACAGCGCTGCGACAGCTAGTCGAAATTGAGGCAAGCGCCCTGAGCCGACAACAAGGCGGAGCTTCAACAAGCGAGGGCTCTTGGCGTTGGCTGGCATAGATGTGCATTAGGTATCCCCCGACCCCAGCGGCAGCGGGGGGGATGCGTCAGTGAAGACCCTTTTCACCCCTCCATCTCCCTCACCCTCAAGCCCGATCCAGCTCCCCTGCCACCCCCCCCACCGCGTCCCCTCACCCCTTACCGGCTCCCGAAGCCCGGTCCAGCGCCCTGCCCCCCCCCCCCCCCGCTTCCGTCCCCCTTCCCACGGTTGGCTTTACTCCCTTACCTGGAAATGAAGTGTTTTAGTGGCTTTACTCCGACCCTACCTGGAAATACAGAAGGGTGCGCTGTGGGGCCTGCGTTTTTGAAACGCTCTTCGTTGAAGATTCCGTTGTTTGAGGTTGGATGGGCGAAGTTTTAACCAGTTTTTTTATACTGACTTACATTCTTCTTCCTGTACTGCCTATTATTAGGAAATGTATCCATTTACTATATGTGTAATGTAGATGAATTAACCAACAAGAGCCCCCCCCCTCCCCCCCAAATCCTTTAAATTTGCTTGGTGCTCCCAATGAAATTTTTAACGACTTTAAGACTTAAAGATTTTACGAGGGCCCCCTCCCCCCCTTTAAACTTTAAGTGGGGGGCCCCAATTCAGCCTAAATGATTTCAAAGTATCTTGAAGATCTTAAACGGAGACTCCACTTTAACATTTTAATGGGTGCCCAATTAACAGTTCAAACCCTCTACTGGTTCTCAAGGTTTTCGAGATTTTCAAAGCCCCCCCCCCCCGGCCCACCCCCCCCCCCAAAGAAAAAACAAAAGGGGCCCCCATGAGAATCATGAAATTTTTAAAATCTTTGAAATCCAAACTGGGCCCCCATTAACATGTTACAGGGGAGGCCCCTTTTAAGATCTTTAAGATACTTCAAAATCATTAAAACTGAATTGGGGCCCCCACTTAAAGATTAAAGCGGGGAAGGCCCCTTTTAAAGTCTTTAAGTCTTTAAAGCCTGTAAAAATTATTTGGGGCGCCAAGTAAATTCAAAGGATGTAGGGGGGCCGTTTAAATCTTGCAAATCTGTGAAGTTTGACGGGGGAGCACCCGTTCAAAACCTGTAAAACCTTCGATACTGTACCTTTAACGTCTTTAAGATTTAAATGGGGAGGGCTTTTCAAATCTTCAAAATCTTTAACAATTGAGTTGGAGGCCCCATTTAAATTTTAAGGGGGGGGGGGGTTGGGGCGGGTTTGACAATGTGTAAATTTGATTGGCGCCCCATGTACTGTAAATGTTAACGGAGAGGCCCCCTGCAAGATCTTCAAGAAACTTGAAAATCATTAAAATTGAAGTGGGACACCCACTTAATGTTTAGGGGGGGGGCTCTTAATTTCTGCAAAATCTTCAAAGTCTTTGACATTTAGTTCGGGGCCCCAAGTAAAAGTTAAAGGAGGGTGGGGGGCTTTTAACATCTTCAAAATCTTTGTAATTGAATTGGGGGCCCTATTTATATTTTAAAGGGGGAGCCCCCTTTCAAAATCTTCAGAACTTTTAAAACCCTGAAAACCTCTTGACTTTATTTAGGGCAGGGGGGCCCTTGTCAAATCTTTAAAATATTTAAAATTGTATGGGGGGCCTCATTTAAGTTTTAAAAAGGCAGGTCTTACAAAATTAGATTCAACTAATAATTCAGGTCATCCCAGCATGCATCAGGCTGACCCGGGCCGCAAAAAGCAAAAGACCGGATGGGCTGCTCTTTGAGAGGCCTGGTGTTCTCGACGCATCAGACTAGCTTCATGAACTCTACTTAGCCTGACTTGCATTCTCCCGCATGTCTCATCGGACGCCCCGGTACTCAGATTTCCCGACTCAATCTGAACCTCAGTGCATGGTCAACGAAGAAGCCTGCACGTCCAACTAGTTGGCAACTACGAAAGCGTAACAACTCATATCGGGCCGGCCATGGGCGAGGTCGACAGCTGCCTCGATTTGCACCAACCCTGACACTGCACCCAAAGCAAACAGCTGCGAATCTGGGTCTAAGGTCTCAGAACTCACCCCTAAGCTTTCAAAACATCATAAATGCCAGTCGAGAAACAGCAATGGCGCCTGAGCGAAGCCATGGGAAAGTACTGGGCGGTGTAAAGAACATCTGAACTAAGAGAAGCTAGCAACACCCGCTCCCCCAGTTCCTCAGCTCCTAGTTGAGGGCATGGATGGAAACTCGAAGCTCGGACCAAAAACCATCCGAAACACACTGCAGGAAAGCGTCTTCAGGCTATGTAGGTGGGGCGGGGGTCCAAAAAGCACGAATTTGACTTTTCGGTTCCCTGACACCGCCCTGGGACCCCCCGACCCCCTGAGGATCCCCTGACCCCCCTGCGACCCCCCTAGGACCCTCTTTCCTCCTTTCCTGTCCTGGGCCGGCCTGGCTGCCGAGGCGGCGCGCGCAAGCGTTTACAATTACACAATAAGTTCGGAGTCAGGCCAGCGCGTCAAAATCGGACTCCTGCTCTGGAATTCCTAACGAACTCGAGATAGTAATGGCGCTGTGGGCAGTTGAGTCGGATGTTGAGTTGGCCGTTGCTTTTCGAATCCCTGATGAGCGAGGTGGACTTTGCCCCCAAGCCTGTCGTTAGCAAACGCTGCTCCCTCATGAAGGATACTGCTGCTTGCACACATTTGCAACATCTGATTCTTCTTGACTAAAACACTCACGCACTGCTAGTGTCGCATCGCTTTCTGAAGGGCAGCATAAGTCGCTTCTTCCTCGAAGAGTCGACTCGCAGACATTCTCCGACACAATTACAACCCGGGAGTCTCACAGCACTCAGTCGAGGATGCGTCTAACTACGCCGGACCTGAAGCAACAGCGCGAAGTGTAAGGTCGGAGGCAAGACCAGGCTGGGGATGTGCCAGCGGAGCCCGTGGGGCCCATGTGGCCCATGTGCGAGGGTCATGAGGCTCGCAGAACTCAAGTTCATAGTGTTGCCGAGGACGTCCTAACAGTTTCTAAATGCTTCTAACATTTCCTGAGTTTCAACCCACGGTCAAAACACCGAATATTTAGATCAGCTCGGCAACTGAGCATGGTTGCTCAGCACTACGCAAAACCAGTGACGAAACTGCGCGACCCAAATCACCACAACGGAGCCTGGCCCTCAAGTCACCACACGCAAATCTTCCGAACCCCGCATGAAACCACGACCTCAAACTTGAGCTAGGAGCCTTTGACCCGCCCAAGTTTTAAGGCTTCGGCGGCATGCGCAAAGCGCCGCATTGGTGGTGGCCTTGCCTGGGAAAATTGCAAAAAAAATCATGAGGGAGGCCGGGAGCTTTCCTCCTAAATCCAGCATGCATTGAAGCTGGGTCCGGGAGGCATGCGACAGCTTGGACTGTAGGAAGGCCGGATAAAGTATGAATGACAATGATCTGCTTCTTTCTGCTTCACAAGGATCTGGGCGCGAAGCAATTATGCTAGGGAGCTTTCATAGCAAGTACAGCCGATTACCATCCACACGCAGGCTGCCCGCCAGCTGGCTGAACAAACTTCTGCCGGTCACTTGTCCAGCTAAGGCTATAAGTACTAAACATGTGGGTGCTGATATGTAGGGTATTCAGACATCAGGCGCTGGCACATAAATGCCTTGGAAGCGCATGCCATCAGGCCACGTCTCTGCTCCTGACCATGGCTGCTAGGCTTCGGATGGTCCTGCTCTGCTTCACACAGAAAAGTACGCTACCGAGGATTGTCAGGACTACGCCAGTCTCCTTCGCCATGCTTCGATCCCTCGGCCCACTGCCCAGCGTAGCGATGCCCAGACCTGTCATAGTGAGCTTGGGCACAGAAAAGGGCAGCATCAAATCGCGCTCTACAGAGCCCTTATGCGGAGCTTGGCGACATGAAGACTCACTGCTTACAGCTTGGAAACGTGCCGGAAGCAACTTGGCGACGAACTCACCTTCGCCGTGCCTTGGATTCGAGCATCTGTTCCAAACCTCGCGGTTCCTCTTTCCAAGATCTTGCGCTCGCCCGAAACCCTAAACCCCGCTGAGGGCCCTGGGCCCTAGGCCTTGCCCTGGATCCCAACAGCTCCGCAAGCTCTGCATCTTCAAGCATTGAGGCATTTGAGTCTTTAATTCTACGATGCGGTGGGGGGAAGGGGGAACGGGGGAAGGGGGTGGGCCGGGGCTCCCTCTGGTTGGGGAGTGTGGGGAAGGGGCTCGTCATGCTTGGACGGATCACATCCCAAGAACTTCAGAAACTCTTCAGAAACTCCCACTCAAGGGGAAGGCCCAAGATCTAAGGGGGAGCTGAGACTGCTGCATTTTGCCATTCAGCCACTGGCCTCGGCGAAGTCTCAGGCTGGCCACAGGCGCTTGCAGCAAAGGAACCCCCAGAGGCGACACCCAACAAGACTCGCCTCGGAAGACGCCGCCGCTGGGCCCCGGGAGCGTCCTAGTTTGTTGCAGAGAAACAGGAAGAGGAAGACAGATCAATGGACGAAAAAGAAGGAGGGCAGCGCGCACGGGAAAAAGAGAGCAAGGAAGAGGGAGACAGGCGTGTTCATAGCAGCCAAGAGGGCACGGTGAGAGAGAAGGTAGGCGTTAGGGTCTCAAAGTTAAGGTGAATCCTGTCTCGTAGAAGACCCCTGATGATACGGTTACGAAATCAAAAAAGTACCATGAAGAGGAACCCCTATTGATACTCGACCGCTGGGAAGGACCTCTGTCTCTAGGAGTTAATCTGTTGAGTCGTGAAAGGTAACAGCCAAGATGGGAGAATGAGGCTGTCGTATTTATTACTAGAACCGTGTGAACGTAACGCCCACAATATTCGGAGAGAGAAACCAACAAAGAGAAAACAAATCACAGAAACAAAATAGGCGACTTGCAACAGAACAAGAGAGCCAAAAAAAACAAGACAAACAAGAAAGAGATGCAATGAGAGAAACAAACAGCAACAGGCATGAGAGCATGAAGGAGAATGAGAGAGTACGAGAAAAACACAAAGAGGTGCACAGAGATACACCGTCACAAACAGCCAGAGCTACAGATGAAATGCCAGCTGTGAATCACGTGCTTTTTGTCGCGAAACCAATGGAAAGGTGTCGTAATCCTCGTGCTCCAATATACGCGAGTATACGCCAATGTACCCATGACACCTTGGGATGCTCCCTCTTAAACTAAGAGTCCTTCATCGGGATTATAACACGGATGCCATGAGCAGCTCTGTGAGGTTGGCTAGGACTAGTTCAAGGCCCGCAAGGCCTTGGCCTCACCGTATGTCGCTAGTATGCTCGAGCATGCTGAAGACGACAACGCCCCCACTTCCATTTACGGGGGGGAAAAACCGGAACTCCTGAATACACAACCGGATCATACAACCCCATCGCCCACTTGGGCCCGCACAGCTCCCCGTGGCCATGTGGCCAGCCATCCTGCACTTGGGCTCGGCTTAGGGCTGGGCTTGAGATGGGTTGAGACGGGTTGAAGCGGGTTTCCGGGGGTCTCACTATGGACCCTGCAGTGCCCAAGGTAATGTCATATAACTGCTCGATTTGAGTTCAGGACCAGACACTCAGGAAAAACATGAGTTGTGCGCCTGTCCTGAATCAGAGGTCTTCGTTCGCAAATGTTTGCAAACGCAGGCCCCAACCCGGAATCGATGCAAATATAATCCTGTCAACAAGGCTCTTTTTCAAAATGTTGACGACAGGCAACTGACATTCAACACATTGGCTACTTGGCTGCATGATTGCCACTTGTAGCGGATTGTAGCGGTTGCAGTGGTACGATAATAGAAGCTTCACACAGCTTCAGGGCTAACTGCGGGACAAAAGAGTGTGCGGCTCGTCGTGGGGAACCTAATGCGTTGAGATGCTTCTTTTATTTCGCAGCGACTACCTGAGCACATGACTCTCCACCATCCGAATCAGGCAGTCCTCATGCCACTCGCCACGGTAACTTCGGCCATCCTCCCAGGTCCGCAGGGCCTTGCCAAAGCCCATACACTGAACCCCCCCCCCCCAATACCCCCCCCCCCCCTTCCCAACACACCCCCCCAACACCCCCCCAACCAACCAGCCCCCCCCCCCCCCCCCCACACCCCCCCCCACACCCCCCCCACCACCCCCCCCCACACCCCCCCCCACACCCCCCCCCCCACCCCCCCCCCCCACACCCCCCCACCACCCCCCCCCACACCACCGCCCACACCCCCACGCGCTATGTCAGAACGGGTCTAGAGGCGGACTCCTGTTGGGGCACTTCGTACTTGCAGTTGTTTGCACGCACACACACACACACATATACGCATAAATCTGGCCCAAAGTAAACTTCCAAGCATGCTCTCTTACTGCCCCATTATTTAAACCTGAAGACCTCCTACCCAGCACAGACCACTGATCGCTGTGCATCGCTGTGCGCGACCTCCTCGGGGCCCATCCAGGTCGTCAAGAAGCCCACCCAAGGCTGAGGGCGGCTCAGAGAAGGGGTGGTTTTTTGGGGACTTTTTCGCGGGATGGTGCTAGGATGTCCCCTGGTTGGCAGTTCGAGTTTTTCAAGATTCTCAGAACGGTTGCTAATACGTAGCTAACAACAGTGAACGAACCTTAGATGCAAGCAAAGCAAAGCCTCAAGCTCCTGCCGACATCGAAAGTCGAACACACCATCGAGGAAATCCAGGTCGAGCTGCAAGTTGAACATTGTCGCTTCCCTTCATCCAACCTTCGAAACTTTCCTTTTTACAACCACACTCTAACGTCGCCCTCTTTCTGCTTCTTTCGGCTCTCTCCCTCTCTGAATCGGCTCGCATGCGCCTTCTGCTTCTCTGCAGTGTCCGGATCCTCAGAAAGCCGCGGGCTGAAGCTGACAAGGTTGGCCTGAAACGTCGAGACGGGGCCGGGGATCCAGGGGCTTTCCAGGGTCCTTATGAACCCTTTTGATGTTGAGAAAGTTCTGTAGTCTACGCAGTAAGCCTAGCGAGCCCGATACCCCGTAACCAGCACGAGGGCGTGTATGATGTGCCACCATGATACCGGCCATACTACAAAAAACTACAAAGCTACCCGGCTACCCGTAGTTCGGTGGCAGGATGCAGAGCTCGTTGGAGGACTTTCGGCTCAATTGCTGCAACCCTGTGTATCCCACAATAAAGCTCCGGCCTTGGGCTTCCGCGGCTGCAGCGGCTTTATGGCGATGCTGGCCACCTCTGCCGGGAATACCTCGTCTTCCTGGGGCTGGCTGCAATCAAAGTCTGCTCTCCCTGCAGTGCCATTGGAAGAGTTTCCAGGGCTCAAGAAAACAGTCTTGGAGCATCACCCAAGTGGGGTTGGCGCAGTCGCAACACCACATCTGAGCAACCGGCTCGCGTCGCAGGCGGTGGCCGATCACATCCCAGAAGGTCCTGAACACGTATGAACGCATTTTGGCGCATGTAGGCCGAGCAGCCCTTGATGTGACCACCATGGATGCAAACCTTTTCTTCATCTACAACACTTGCTGCGAGCGCAGCAGAATACTTCATGTCCAAAGCTAAAACCCCACATTCACTGAATCACAGTGTGCTGACTTTCTCAAAGCACACACACACTCACTCACTCTGAGACGCCCTAGCTCTCTGTTATGTTCGGTGGGTGGGGTGCATCTATGTGGTGCAGAGTCATAGGCCCCGCCCCTCCCGGATGCCTGTCGGCCCCGCTGTGGGTTGTCTTGTGTGAGTTTTTGAGAGTCGGGTCTGGGGTCTCGGGTTTTAGGGTTTATGGCTTGTCGGTCCCTAAGCCTGGTGTCTTTTAAGTAAAGGCCTTCGACTGAAATTCTATTAGTCTAGCGCTTGTCAGCCCCTCTGAAAACAGTTGTCTATGGGGATAAAACTTGTCTCCCAGGGTGCCGACACGCGACATGGAACCATGCCCGTATTTATGCGACGCATTCCTGAACGTCCAAGAGTGCAAGTTTGCCATTTGGTGAACTCAGATGCCCACAAGCGGAACCCACACGTCCAAAAGTCATGGCAGCTTCGCGTTTCACGAACCCAGAGAAGCCAAAAACTGATGACAGTTTCAAGGACGGCGAGCGAACGCCCGCCCGCGACCAGGCGAGAGCGCGATTATGACCAAAAAATGTGGAGCAAGCTTCGAGAACGCTTCGAAGAATCTGGAAGCAGTAAACACCAATACGAAAGATGCTAACATGCAGACTTTGCTTTGAATACTGCCCGGACCATGCTTTGTCGCCAAATAATGTTCCACGTTCCGGCGGACAGAGCCCCGAACCCTAAACCCAAAGGCCCTAAGAAGAGAACCTGAGTTCGGCCCTCTACCCTCTGCCTCTGCGGCTTGGAAGCCTCTGACGGTGCATTGGCTGACATCCTGTGTTTCAGGCATGTTTGTTCGATCAATCTAGTCAAGCATAAAGACATGCAGGAGAAGCTTTCTGAAGCTATCTAGCCTGCCGCCCTCAACATTCGCAATCGTGAGCCTCACGCCTGTGCCTGTGTTGGCAACAGCTCGTAGCACCCTATGCCATACAGTGAAGATCGCTCACCCTGCAACGCGCAGTTGCGCATTCACCCTGAATGGGCCCAGTTGGGGAGGTGTGTTCTTTCGGTGAACAGGGGGGCCTAGAACCAGACTCAAACCAAAGACATGGGATGAGGGCAGCTGGCTCTCAGTTCACTCAGCTTCGTACTGGATGCTTGAGTTGATGGCGCATTGCCAAAAGGGTCCTTGCCCTCGGGGATGCACGCGCACGCTGCGACCAGCATGGGTGATATGCCTGACCAGTTGCTTGCGGCTAGTCATCTCCCAGCATGCGCGGGACCCTGAGCAATCCGAAGCAGACACTGACAACGTGCCTGCGGAATCTTGCATGAAACCTTGCACCTACGCACTAGCAACCGGTGCGGACCTGGGCCTGGATCCCCTGGGGCTCTGATTGCAAATAATTACAACATCCTGACATATCCTGACACATTGGGTTTTCGAAAAGAGGGGAACCCTTTTTGGGGGTCCCTTTTAAGGTGATTCTCTTCTATTTGGGGTATAAAAGGGGTACCCCTATTTTGGGAAATGCCCACATGCGAGCAGGCAGAAGCCCCAAACCTTAAACTGCTAGTCACTCTGCGGCCCAGGCGCCCGCTACCAATGATCGGCTAACCACGCTGGCCAGGCGACATGAGCAGAGCAATAGGACTCATGATTCATGGAACTTCACGGAACTCAGTTCGCATCTTGGAGAGGGCAGAATGTCGGCTTTTGAGGCTGAGATAGATGGACAGGTGCAAGGTGCAGAAACCGCCGTGTTGCTCTGTGCTGCATGCTGCGAGTTTGTCCCGTTAGCAACGATGCGGAACACGCATGCACAATTCTAGCGGGGACAAGCTTCGGTAAACGAGTTGAATGTGCTGACGCACAGCACCCCGGCTATAGTATATCCAGATCATAAGAACACTCCCGAACATCCGCCGAGCCCTCCCTGCCCCCTGGCCGGGGGGAGGCGTCAGTGAAGAAGCTTCCCGGACACCTCTCTGGTACAACCGACTGATGGGGTCCCTGCCCTCATTTCAAACTCAATTTTGCCTGTGATTCTGCTACGGCGACTACTTTGGGCTTGTACATGCACCTTGACACATCTTCATAGTATTTACGTGTTCAGCCCCGACTGCAATTTGTCCGAGACGGACTTTTCAGACGCGCTGCTCCCTCGCGTGTCTCGAAATGCCTGAAAGGCCTCCAGGGATCTACAGCTCAGCCACAGTTGTGGCATCGAGCCGTGCTTTCGCTCTAGCTTGGCCGTTTCTAAGTATATCGTGAAGGATGTTTTGTCCATTTTGGCCCCAAACACTGACTCAGGCTTCGGCCTTTAACTCCTCGTGTGGCTCGACCTTCGTCATCCCGAGAATCATGTCCGCGGCGACTGTGTACATGGGGAAGGGCATCAGAGCAGCCTGAGTTGTGCGTTTCAAAAAGGCTCCAGACCTGCCGGGGCAGGGACCCTGCCACACACCTGCCCCGGGCCCCCCGCCCCCCTCTTGGGTCACTTTGGCCTTGGAAAAGAAGGGCACACATTTCGGGGGGGCTGCACGCCCACCCCCTCCCCTTCCCCACCCGAAATGCGTGCCTTTCGGTCACTTCCGGCGGAGACGTGCCATTTGCGTGTTCTTGTTTGGGCCACTTTTGCCCGCAACGCATTTCGGGCGGAAACCCTTGTTTTGCGTCTTGGCTCTGCTTGCTGGTGTGTATTCACTTACTTTGCGGTTGTTTTTCTTGTTGGCGCGTCTTCGCTCACTACATGCAACTGGTTTTCTTCGCTCTCTATGCGCTTGTTTTGCTTTTTGCAGGATTGTTGTGGTTCGTTTGGAGGGATTTGCGTTTCCTGTAAACACTACGCAATCGAATCGAACGATTCGTTTCCTCCGGTTCGATTCGAAGCCTAAATTGGGATAGACAATAGATACCTCCATGAAATTATCACCCTCCATGAAGTACCGCACTAGAAAACAAAACTCCAGGGGACCAAAACCCCAAGCTGTAAACCCGGAATGAGGGGGGGGGAGGGGGGGGGGGAGGGGGGGGAGGGGGGGGGGGGAGGGGGGGAGGGGGGGCAGGGTCTTTACGGGCTTTTCAAAGTGGCCCTGCTCACACCACTCACACTCTCAGGCACTAAGCATCGACTCCGCGAGACGATGAAGAGGCCAGGGGCGGCGTTTGCTTCCCTGAACTCTTCACGCGACGAGGGTTTAGGGGTTAGGGATTCTGATTATCAGCCTGCCCAGGGACTGAATGGGGATCGTGCAGCCGTCGATCCGACTCAGCATCTGCATGCGCCCCTGCACCAGCAGCGCCAAATTGAAGCTCATGCTTCTAGTGCTTCGCGAGTGTGGCAGAGGACGACTGTTTTGCTTCTCCGTCGAGGGCAAGCATTTGCCAGGCTATTCTAAACAAGGGTACCCTGACAAATTCACTGCACCATATTGCACCTTTTGCATAGTTATTTTGCAGAAGTCTCTAAGGGAGCACAGGGAGAAGAGGTGGGAAGCAAAAATCAGCAAAAGACAGGCAAATCGCAATGATGCCCATTCATTCATCGTGAGAGGACATCCAATTGCTGGGATGTCTCTTGCAAGCATTCTGCAGTAGGTCAAAGCTCAGCAATGCTGCCTTCACATTCATCTCAGACGTGTTGAGAATGAACCAGACACAACCTACCGCAGATGCGGACCGAAAAGCCACATGCTGAGGAGCCCATGACCGCAGTGATCACAAACCGGCACAAGCGCATTTGCTTCGAAGCTGCAAAATTCACCCACTATTGGTAGGGGCCCTTAGTCTCCAGAAGTTAGCTACGGTGAGCGCTTGGGCCGGCAATTAAAATTGAGGCTCCTCTCCACTTCACAACATGCAATCAAACTCTTACCTTGCATGTGGAAATGGAAGATGGAAAACGAGGGAACTGACGAGATACTGTCAGCGTTAGGGAGCATATGGAGCAGCCGCTCGGACAGGGGTGTACATAGCAGATGCCAGCGTCCATACTGTACGGAGCAGCTCCTTCCACAGGGCGCTGGATGCGCTAATCAGGCCGTTTGCGGCGCATACAAGGGGTGGCGGATGTGCTGTCGCCGATGCCCTTGTCAACGGCAAGCTCTCGCCTCTCAACATACCACGAGGCCAAGCAGATAGTTTTGGCCATCGCCAAGGTTCCGAGTAGCCACGCTGCCAAGCTGGGCTCAGGAAACAGATTCAGTTGATCCCTGATGTCTGTTAGGAGGTCATTGAACAGGATAGGGATTTACAGACGAGGAGGGTGGCAGGTTGCGCACACTCTGCAGTCACTTCAGGTCAGACATGAAGAGCCCGCAGCAAGCTAAAGCTGTTCAGGAACAACTGCGTTTCGCATCCGCGATCCGGAAGCAAATTTCACAAGGTTGCAGAGAGGAAACGTGCTGATTTCACTCTGCCACTAATGAAGAGATAAGCTTCCCGCTTAGAACAGAGCTTCCGGATTCAGGATCGAATCTCCGGGCATTTTGCCCCGATGAAGCGAGCCCATTTAAGAAATAAAAAAATTAACTTGATAAAAGCCTCGAGGCGTCAACTGACGCCTGGGGGCGAAGCAGAACTAGGCCAGGCGGGACACCAGCGCGAAGGTAAAGGCCAGCAGGTAGTAGCCTCAGTAACCCAGCGCCAAACACAGACGGGCGCGAGATGCTTGATGATGCTGCAGACAGGCTCAGAAACTCACTGCCCTGCTCTTAGTGCGATAGTGCAAATAAACAGTGTTCAGGCCTTCCAGACCCCTGAAACAAATGTAAGCGTCTCATCTTCTGAACAGCCAGCGCCGTCAGCCTCACGCCCCTGATGTAGAATCCAGCCTCCCAACATGTAAAGAGCATGGAAGAGGAGGAGATCACGGGCAAGGTATACCAACATTATGTTCGCTGCAGTTGAAGCTTGGTGATTGCCATTGATTGCCGGATAGCTGGATCTCGGGTGTGGGGGCCTGTGGTGCCTGGCCCTCCAAGCTCAACTTTGCAAAAAAACACTCCGCATGAAATCATGTCGTAGGCTCGTGCCGAATAAACTATGATGGCTTCGTTGGGACGTTTTGAGTTCACGCTGGGCCATTCGCCTTTCGGACATACCAAACTGCAAGTCTGCACGTTCTGCCGCAACAGTTCAACAGAGCCCGGTAGCCCAAACAAGATATTTAAGCAGAATAGACCAGAAAGCGCACGAAATTCTGAGGACCCTACAAAAAAAACATCAACTCGGGCTGTATCCCCAGTGTGTCCCCTGTTACCAGAACTTCTTTGGCCACCCCCCGCGAGCTTGGCCTGGCTTTGGACGATGTACTGGACCATGTACTGCCTAGGAAAGAGTGCGACCCTAAAAGAAAGGTCACTGAAGCGTTTGCCAGCATGATAGAGTCTGATTGGAGATTGTGGACATTTCACGATGTTTCTGTGAGTTTCGCTGCGACGAAATGATTTGATGTACACACACTCGAAAGCCGGAACCATGCATGAACGATCTCTGCTCAACAAACCGATCGAGGAGTGAGGCAAGGTTCCGGTCATGATCCATCCATGACTCCTCGACGTCGTCCTCATTTTCAGGCAGATCGGCATTAGAAAGTTCAAATGAATATTGACATGCTGATGTGATTTGCCGGCATGCTCAGCCCGGTCCTCATCATCTGGCTCAAACTTCCAGGAATTCACTAGGGGAGCCAGTCGGCTCGCCTTCTCCGAGACAGTCGCTGCACGCATCATCACGTACCTACAGCTGAAAGCAAGACTAGAAACAGCATGTCAATCCACGAGGTCCGGTATGCTTGACGCTGCGCGAACAAGGCACATGTGAAGCAGGATTGGAGCATAGGCCCAAGTCAACGCTTCCTCGGGACAGTTGCAGGGACAGCGCTTTGCAGATGTTCCCTTCCAAATATTCTTCCATTTGGGGGTTGACGAAAATAGGGGACCCCCAATATACACCCCCAAATAGTAGGATCCCGGTGGACCCCAATAAGGTACTCCCAAGTATCGTAAAACCCCCCATATTGTTGGCGCAACCAAACCCCAAACCCTAAACCCTGAACCCTAAACCCTAAACCCTAAACCCCAGGGAAAGGCTCCAGGCATCGATGGAGCAGCTCAGGCTGGAGATAGGCACGCTCGGCCAATGGTATCCTGAGAGCTTCTCTGGTGGCTACCATTAAGGACGATATGGGTTTAGGTTTTAGGGTTTAGGGTTTAGGGTGGTGGAATGTTCCCCCATATACTAACAGGTGCGCAGCCCGTGGGCTGTCAAGGTGAAACCACAGCTTCGCGGCTGGCAACGGCATCTTTTAGATGCCGGCTACAGGGTGGCTAACCACACCTTGGGCTAAGTAGCTAAGCAAGAGAGACAAAGTCGTCGGCTACGGCTACTAAGCCCTTGTGGGAAAAAAGCACCCTCTCATTGGGAATGGGCTACCATATCCCGGCTGCAGGGAGTGGAGACCACGTCCCGTGCATCAGAGGAGGGCGAGTTGGGACATTGGCTGGAAGCCAGCATAGGGAGTGCACCACTGCCCACAACAAACAGGAGAGGCGAACCTCATCCTGAAAGGGAGTGCATCACGTCCCTTGTAGACATGGAGAGGCGACCTCATCCTGGGGGCAACACACGATCACGGGGCGTCAGCACCCCTGAGGCATCATTTACCCCCGCTCGTCGTAGAAAGGCATGGTATCGCGGGCAATACAACCTGAAGTAGGCAAAGTTGCTGTCGTGATACAGCCTGTGATCTTTGAAGCGGCGTTGCCATGAAGACACAGCTTCAAGGCCGAACGCTTCGACCGTCGACCAGAACCCTGGGAGTCCGCTGGTCTTGGTTCCGACAGCCCACGGCGTCCATCTCTCAAGATCTTGAAAGTGTAGGGAATTGGAATCCCTATTCAGGACTGTTTGTATTCCCAAACTGCATGGTGGTTTCGGAAATTGGGGTGAAGGCCCTATAATATATATATATATATATATGTATATATAATATATATATATATATACCCTTTAAGGGATTACACAAAGGGCTCTCATTCCCTCATTCCCTACTAAGAAATCAGGTTAAAATTGGGGATGTGGAGGTGACATGCCTTTGACCCCTTCGACCCCACAGGGCGCTTTCGGGGGGCAAAGGCGCAGAATTTTTCAGCCGAGCTTCAACATGCCCAGGAAGGATAGGCCTCAACAGGTGCTGGCTTTAGGGTTTAGGGTTTAGGTTTTAGGGTCTGGCATCTCAAGCAGCTCGCGTTTCTTTTCCATCCGGGAACTGCAAGCACGAAAGGCTGGATGAAACATGCTGAGAACTATCGCCTTCAGAGCATCACTGAGCTTCGGACCCAGGAACACTATCGAGCCACTGATCTTCCATGAGACTTGCCTGTCGAAGGTGCTCAGATCCCTAAAGACGCAGGTCAAATTGCGCGATATGATAGGAGTGCAGTTCGCAGTCGTTGCCTCAGCGTGGCCTGCACAGTGTTCCATTCCTGCACTCCCAGAAAACTGCACTTCTCCCTCTGCTATCGATTCGGCTGATTTCGGCTGATGTCGACTGCGCATTCGATCAGATTCTTTCGGGCAGATCTGGATTGGTCCGAAGTGTCCGTGAGAGTCGGGCGGTGTCAGATTGGACTTGTCACTGTCGCTGTCTCTGTCTCTGTCTGTGTCTCTGTGTCTCTGTGTCTCTGTGTCTCTGTGTCTCTGTGTCTCTGTGTCTCTGTGTCTCTGTGTCTCTGTGTCTCTGTGTCTCTGTGTCTCTGTGTCTCTGTGTCTCTGTGTCTCTGTGTCTATGTGTCTCTGTGTCTCTGTGTCTCTGTGTCTCTGTGTCTCTGTGTCTCTGTGTCTCTGTGTCTCTGTGTCTCTGTGTGTCTGTGTGTGTCTGTGTGGTCTGTGTGTGTGTGTGTGTCTGTGTGTGTGTGTGTGTGTGTGTGTGTGTGTCTGTGTGTGGTGTGTGTGTCTGTGTGTGTGTGTGTGTGTGTGTGTGTGTGTGTGTGTGTGTGTGTGTGTGTGTCTGTGTGTGTGTGTGTGTGTGTGTGTGTGTGTGTGTGTGTGTGTGTGTGTGTGTGTGTGTGTGTGTGGTGTGTGTGTGTCTGTGTGTGTGTGTGTGTGTGTGTGTGTGTGTCTGTGTGTGTGTGTGTGTGTGTTGTGTGTTGTGTGTGTGTGTGTGTGTGTGTGTGTGTGTGTGTGTGTGTGTGTGTGTGTCTGTGTGTGTGTGTGTGTCTGTGTGTGTGTGGTGTGTTGTGTGTGTCTGTGTGTGTGTGTGTGTGTGTGTGTGTGTGTGTCTGTG